ACTTTTTTTTTTGTAGCGTATTTTCCTTACATGCAGAAACGCCAGACTGTTCTATCTTTTTTAATCTTTCTTTACGCTAACATATCTTGTGCAGTCTTCTGCCAAACTTCTGTATCAAATCCTTTGGTTCGTTTTCCAATTTTGCCAGTACTAATTTTCTCAACTCTGCGTCTCTTTCCGATACCAGCCCTTGAACAAACACTAAGCACTTAAAATTGTCAGCGCTTAACTCTGCCAGCTTGAATTCTTCACAATGCTTATTCACATTGGCTGCATACGTTATATAGTCTTGTTCGTCATCTTTCATCAGATTCAAACATTTCCACCTCTTGTGAAACAAAGATGTCTTTTTACTAAATAATTCACTTAATATATTTACCGCCTCGGTAAATGTCAACTCACTAGTTTTTTTTTTTTATCAAAAAATGTAGTTTACCAATTTGTTATGCTCAGCAGTTCCTAATTTGCTTAAAAGAAGCCTAACCTTCTTTCCTTCAGACCACGAGTGGCAGTCCTCGTTATACACGTCCATATATTTTTTATAATACTCCTCAAAAGTTATCTCTTCATCTGGACTGTACGTGAATATTTCAATTGAATTCCATATTGTATTCCCTGGGAAAGAATCATTTTGTAGATTTTTCTTTCCTCTTCTCAGTTAATTCCAGAATTTTGTTTTGAAGCTCCCTATGCATTTGTTCCATTTCTTGTTGAAATTGCATTTGTCTATTAAAAGTTTCCTCCTGTAGTTGCATCTGGAATGTTTTCTGTTGCTCTAATATTGTCATCTGTTGTTCCGACTGGAACTTAAAAATTCCTGAATATATTTTTTTCCTCCATCTTCGCAAAAAAGTTTACACAATGCTTAAATATTGTAGAGGGGGGGTCCTAACAAATTTGCAATTCGTGACCTATTTGAGCAAACTGTCTTATCGAGAAAAAAAAAAAATTATTTTCTCAGTTGAGAATACGACAGATTTTTTTCGTCACTAAGTTGACGTCTTGTCTTTTCTTTTCTGAAAAACTTTGCAAGTTTTTTTTTTTTAAAAATGTGAATCTGATTTTTTGTCGCCGAAATTATTGTGATTTCGTCAGCAAATTTTTTTTTTCCTCCGTATGAATACGAATTTCGTCACCAAATAATGTTGTGGCGAGCAAAATTTTTTTTTTCTCCAAATGAATCCGAATCCCTTTCCAAATTTGTTATGGCGGGTGAATTTTTTTTTCCCTCCATTTTTATACTGTGGCGAACAAAAAAAAATTTTTTTTTTTTTTTTTTTTTCTTCCATATAGAATGAATTTTCGTCGCCAAATTTGTTATGGAAACAAATTTTTTTTCCTCCGTATGAGTGAATCCCTCGTCGCCAAATATTGTTATGAGTGATTTCACAGTGGAGGCTTGTATTTGTACTAAGTCGGTCCTAAAATAGGTTTGACGTACAAAACGTTAGGAACTTGATATAATAGGTATGACGCAGAGAAATCTAGTTGTGGTCGCTGATAGTTTAGTATTCGACTAACTATCATTCGACATCGAATGACTGACTGACCCACTGAGCGACACCCTCGTTACTCTTACTACTCCTACTTATTATAGGTGGGAGAGTCTATTAACTATAGAATAGGTGTGTTCCACTATAACACTAATATATATAAATGTAGGTAGGAAAAAAAACAAATGTTGATAAGATAGTCAAAGTCATACTGCAACAGATTCAAAAAAAAAAAAAATTCATGACCTCAGATATATCCATTTTTAATATGGAATTTACCCTGGTCTTGACCTATTGCATTGAAATTACAATCTTAAAGGTGTTGTTATATGTCTTTACCTTTGGTTCTATATGTTTTGAAAATCTTATGTTTGTTATATTTTTAAAAATTTTAAATTCCATGGGCTGTTGTTATAGTGTTTGAAATACATCAAAAAATTTCATATATCCAAAATAGAAACTTTTTCCAAATATTGATTAGAATCATATTTGTTGTCTTTTATTCTTTTCCCTAAAGGACATTATAGTCAAGAAACCTTCTCTAAGTTTGAAATGAATCATATTCATCTCAACATTTGATCTTGATCTTACTGTTTTGTTGCTTTTGCAGTTGTTATAGCATTTCAGACTTTCTATTCTCTGGCCATCTTTAAGTGTGCAATCTGTATGAAAGTTAGCTTTGGTCATTTTTGGAAGAGTTGTTTGAATCATTGATCACACTTTTTGATGTTAAGTATATGACAATGTTTTGCTTTTTAAAACATTTTCAAGAAAAATCATTTATTCAAATCTAGAGGATGTTCAATAGTGTTAACAAATCATAATTTGAGATGTTACCTAGAAACTAATAATAAATAAAACTTACATGATAGATAACACTGACTCCTATCAACAAAGAAAGCCAGATTTTCATTTAACATTTCATTTTTTACTTTGATTCTTTGTCCAAAATATGAACAATGGGATTTCTGCCTTGTTCAAAATATTTACATTTTTTGTCAAAACTAAAAAACAGGCCTAAAATAGAAGTATATATATATATATAAATTCAAAAACAATAAAACCTTTTACAGAATTATATTGCAAATCAAGTCAATCAGTATTCATGAATAATTTAGAAACCTTACTGTTTAAATTAATACAATGCCCAATAGCCACTTGAAGGTTATAAATAAGTTAAGGTAAATATGGATGCAAAAGGAAATATAATTCAAATTATTTTTAGCAAATTGTTCATATTCAATAGAAGGCCCAAGATTCAAATCAAGGTAGAGTGGTTAAACAACAACCTTAAAAAATTCATGAATCTCAAGGTACAATATAAGTTTATTATTATGAGGATAGCCTGGACTTGAGATTAAATAGTAGAAATTGTGTTGGTTGGTTGATTTGACATAGCAGTATATCAACCTTTTATAACATCCTGAGTATGATGATAAAACTACATTTTTTATCCTGGGTAAGACAATGTCACAGGAATCCAAAAAAAAAAACAACTCTTCTAGGAGGTATTGAAGGGTGTGGAACAATTCTTTTTTTTGGTGTTCCCAAATCCAATTTGAAAAGGGGTTTAAATGACAAGGGTCCCAGTTAAAGGGGACAATAGTTAACACCCAAAAAAACAAAAAAACACTATGAAAGTGTTTAAATAGGTTTTAGTACCAGAAATTTTCAGCCGATTGTAAAAAAAATTATCAAAATTTTTTTTTTTGAAAAATAAAAATTACCCACTGTCCTTTTTTGTTTTAAATTTTCAATAATACATTTTTGAAAAAAAAAAATTCATTTATAAAAAATCTTGTCAGCAATTTAAATAATCCATGCTGTAAAAACAAAATTGTGCAAACCAAATGGGATTTATTTGACAGTTATAAAAAAAAAAAATTTTAATTAAATTGTGTGCCTTCAACTATAGATAAAAATGTAAAATAGTTTGTCATTTTTTTTTAAATATGTATTACTGGCAATTCTTTGTATAAAAAATGTATTGATGGTATTTTTTCTACTTTCATAGTGTTTTGTTTTTTTGTTTTTGTATATCTAACCTGCCTATATGATTAAAACACTTAATGTGCTACCACTTAAATCAATATGGTGGACAATGGGAACAACATCAATTAGGACTCTTCAAAACAGCCAATTTTCCAAATTAAGAGGCCTTGCTGCTGGATGTAGTTTACTGTCATACCTTTAAATTTTAGTAAGATTGACAAAAGCATCCTAACCTGAATCCTAAAAAAAAATAGCAGTTTTTAACATTTAAGCTGTCAAAAATGGAAATTCAGAAAGAAAATAAACGAAATATGAAGGGAATTTTATTATTATTTGGCTGTTTACATGTTTTATAAGTAGTTTCACAACAAAGATTAAATATTTCCCTTTTGGTTATATAGGTAATAGGTTTATTATTTACAAAATTTTCTGAAAATAAGAGGTTGATATAATTTTCCAATTTATCTACAGAGAAATCTAGTTGGTTGCTGATATTTTTTTTAAATCATCCGACTAATTTTTCATTTTTTTGTCGACTTCTGACCAACTCAAAAATTTGAATTTCTTCTCTTTTATTATTTTTTACTACTACTTATTATAGGTGGGAGAACAATCTATTAACTATAGAATAGGTGTGTTCCAACTATTAACAGTACATGACAACAAAAGGTCTGAACTTTTTAGACTAATTGAATTTAGATTAATTTTAAGGCTTGAAAAAATTTCGAAATGGTTTCTGTTTGTATTGAAATGTTTGAAAATAATTCCACAATTTCCACAATGTATGTTTTTTGATTTTTTAATGTTTTACTTTTTAATGACCATATTTTTATATTTTAAATTGTACCAAAAAATTGATCTCATGACATCATCGTCAAAGACCTGCTGAATCTTGTGGTTGGTTTAAGGAATATCAGGAAGCTTTTAATAAAAATTATAAATGTCTCCTTTTTAAGTCATTTTCTGGAAATTTTTCTTCTGATAAGTTAAACTAAGCATGTCTGTATCTGATTTAAGAAGTTGGGAACTGTTTTTCATCCTCCTGAAATGAAAATATTCACATATGCACAGGAAAATTCAGATCATGTTTTCCAAATATTTTTTTATTTTTTGCCCATATAGCATTAGTATTAAAGAAAAAAATAAGGTCAATAAAAAATTAAATGCAAAGAACCTATGTGCAAAAAATTTTTGGGAAATTTGTGAATATGAATTTTTCTTTTTCACTTTTTTTTCTTTGGGTTATTGACAAAATTTGAATCCAAAATCTTTATCATATCAAAAAATTCTTAAATCTAATAAAAATATTTTCTATTTTTTAATAAAAACAAAAAAAAATCGATAAATCGTAAAAAAAATCAATCAAACCTTTTTCCTTTTTCAACATCCTTTTTTTTTTTTTTTTTACACTGTCATGTAGGTTTCTTTAATTGAAAAGCATAACTGATTCCAGCTCAGATCTGTTTGGGATTGGACAGATACTACATTCTGATCTAACACCAAACAGTGTAATGCTCATAGAAGCAGAATAGATAGGTTAGCAAAATATCTGTACCTGACATAATCTCCATTTTGGGTTGCTTTTGCCAAGGAAAAAAGGCAATCGAGTGTAGCAAGAAGGTGGACAGCTTTTTTGTAAGGTTGGTACTTGACCTGGAATGAACTGAGTAAAAAAAAGAATTAAAAGATAAAATTCAATCCAAATGATTTATAGAGGATAAAAAGCAGTGTCAGGTGACAAGAATTTTTAGCTTGTTAATTTTTTATATGCAATGAATTAAAAAAGTGTCTGATTTATAATCTTTGATAAAAATGATTTCATATATGTCTGCTCAGAGCAGGAATGCCTGAGGTAAACATACCGGGGTTGGACAAAATAATTGGAACACTTGTTAAATTCAAAGAAAATTTATTTAATATTTAATATTTTGTCCCTGTATATATTAAAAGTAATTAGGCATGTCAATGAAAAAAAAAAAAAAAAAAAAAAAAAAATTGTCCATGAGAAGAATTTAAAATTAGAAAAGATTTTCCTGAAAAAAAAAAAAATTTTACAATGAGATTTAAAAATTATTCAAATTATAAATGTAAGGTTCAATTCCTGCCAAAGAACACAATTTTTTTTTAATAAGATTTCTCAAAATTTCAGGCCAGTAGATAATATTTATAAATAAATATACTGTTGAATATATGAATAGAGCACCTATTCAAATGAGTATCCACATATTATTTTTATTTATATATATATATATATATATATAAGTGGACACTGAGGTTAACATCAAGTGATGAACACAACCTTCAGGCCATGTGGGCTGTTCGTTGATTGAACCTCAGTGGCTAGTTTTATATTTACATCCCCTTTTATTTTCAAGCAAATCCATAAATATAACATACCTTTTAACTATATATATATATATAATATATATTTGGAAAACCCTTAGATGTGTTTTTTATCACCCTGGTCTAATGAGTATGAAATGAAAAGTGTCACATCTATCCAACCAAAAATGTTAATTGATATCTCTGATATTGAGCGCTTTCTAATAAATTACTGTGCATATAATATATAAATAATTATACATATATATATTTATTTATATATTTAATTTTATATATATATATATATATATATATATATATATATAGGGACTGATGGATAAATTGTCATCTAAATTATACAAAAATGAAAATAACACTGACAACTCCTTTTAACAGATATACTTACTAAAATTATACAAAAATATCTCGAAATACGAAAGAGAAAATTTACTCAATAAAATCCTCGTTGGCTTCAACCACAGCCTCCAGATGATTTTGGAATCTTTTGCAATTCTTCTGGACAATTTCCTTGTTGGTGAATGCTACCATAATCCTTGTCTTCAGTTCATCTTTGGTGTTACAAAGAGTTTTGTTGGTCTCTTGCTCAACTGTGCCTCATATATAATAATCAAGAGGATTGCAGTCTGGGGAGTTAAGTGGCCAGAGGTAAGGGGTGATGTGGTTTCAAAAATTGACTGACAGCTGAGACTGGGTACTCCTGCTTGTGTGGCATAGTGCAGAGTCCTGTTGCTAGACATAGGGTGTTCAAGTAGCCACCCTCTTGACCCAGGTCAGTACTACCTCCTCAACGCACTTGAGGTAGGCCTCTGTGTTGAGTCTGAGGCAATCACCAACGAATTCGGGAGTTTTTATCTGAATGAACAAAGTGACATTTTTGAGCTGTCATACCTTCATAATCACCATTAGACTCATCCAATGCTTTCCAAATCCTCTGCAATGTCCTCACATTGACATCCAAACTTCCTGAAATGTTCATATTGGCGCATCTAGCACAAATGCCAAGCAGTACAGTATGCCATTTCCAAATTTCTGGCAGAGTGAATTGTGTCATGGTGCTCTTTTTCTCACAGAGGGTGTCCAACTGACCCTACTATACTGTGTAATCGACAAAATAAAAAAAAAATAAAAAAAAAAGAAGACCAACATTCATGTGCAAAATATAAAATGGTGTCAATTTACCCATCGCACCCTTTTATATATATATATATATATATATATATATATATATATATATGTCAAAGGAAAAATTGTGTGCATGCATATATATGTATATATGGGCATGTAGCCAAGTAATTAGAATGTTTGCTTTCTGACCATGAGACCTGGGTTTGAGTCTCATCATAATTGATTTGTCAGGAAGGCAACTTCCTGATGTTACCAGATTGGATTGAGGTCAATCCCAGCATGCAGCACCTTTGGAAAGTGCCTGAAAAACCATACCACGGGTTGACCCAAGCTTTGTGAGTGAAATTGGGTAGGCAGAACTCTTGGAGGCCGTCAATAGCTGTGGCTGAGTCATTGTGGTTGAGGGTTTGAGCGTGCTGGCCTTGTTCAAATTGTTGATCACGCTAAATAACACGCTCTCTCCCATAAAACTGTAACTAAGGTCTGCTCAGCATAGCTTCAGTATAAACCACAGGTGGGATTCTCTGTGGATGTTGAGTAAACACAAATGTGCCTGAGGGAGCATCTACAATAGGGATTGGCTAGCCACCCTAGCAGACGAGTATCCTCGGATAGGAGTGACCAGCTATTATTATGTATGTATATAGACCCCTCTTAAAATATGACATTTAAAAGTTTCAAGACCAAAAGAAGTGTAATATGCTCAAGTGTGGAGACATTTTATTTTATTAGAAAGGGGAGGGTTAAAGTTAATCCTCAATACCTGAGGCATCCAAATAGGCAAATTCTAAGGGAATTAAGCAATTTTTTTTTCTTAGCTCCATCTGTGCAAAATTTAAACATAGCCTTGTGCCATCCTCCCTTAAAGTGAGTGTTCAGTTAAATACCCTTTGAATATTTTAATTTTAATTTTTTAAAAAAATGTGACAATAGATTACGCATGCAGAAAATATAATCAATGTAATTTCAAAATTACTTGAAATTTGCTGTTATTTTTTGACTGGGTTGATGCATTAGGGCAGGTTGATTTTAGAAGCATGGTATTGCACTCAATTTGAAAGTTGGGGTTTGACACAATAAATAATGACACAAAATATTTTTTTCCAAATCATTACCATATTTTGAGTTTAAAGATTAAGTTTAGGTTCCAAATCATAGCAATGGAATTTCATTCCAGTGAACAGTGAAAGATTTATAACTTTATACTTTACTGAAGCTTTACAAATTGTATATGGATAAGAAGCAAGGTACAAGCAAATTATTACTAAATCATTGTGTCATCAAATAAAATTTTCATTTACTTCAAAGGGAAATTATACTGAACAATTTAGCTATATTATGATGAATTATACAGTGCAATAGTTTTAGTGATATTCTCAATAAACAATGGAAATTTAAAACATTTTGTATTATAATTTGTGCCCAGCAGTATTATGGTGTTATATACATTTTTATCTATTTTTTGTTTTTATTAATTATGATTTAACAAATGGTGTAAATTCTTATTTATTGTAAGCCATTTTTGTAAACTTTACAATTTTTTACTTATTGAATACAATAACAAATTGCATATTTTGCTTGTGGTCATTCATAATCAGAATTTTAGTTTGAATATATTTTCCATTGAATGTACATAATATAAGAAATATCAAATTTATTTGGATTTATTCTTGAAATAGCAAAATTTCGAAGTCGGTCTGTAAGCAAAAACCTGCAGAAATTAGGTATTTCTGTACATTTTTGTTATAGTGGAACACACATATTCTATAGTTAATAGACTCTCCCACCTATAATAAGTAGGAGTAGTAGTAGCAGTGAGTTGGTCAGTCAGTCGATGTTGGACGACTGTTAGTCGGATATTAAAGTATCAGCGACCACAACTAGATTACTACGTCATTACCTATTATATCAAGTTCTTAACGTTTGTACGTCGAACCTATTTAGGACCGACTTAGTACAAAATACAAGCCGCCACTGTGAAAACATTACATAACAACTTTGGCGACGAGGGATTCGAACTCATACGGAGGAAGAAAAACCTTTCGTACACTACATAACAATTTTCTAATACAATCTTTAAAACTAAATGCTCAAAAATTGATAAAAGCTATGAATCTAATTTTTGATGTCAGTACTTATCATATCAAACCCTGGCCTCCACACCAAGTGTAATGTTGATTTTTTTTAAAGGAAGTGAAAAATCAACCTGCCCTAGTGATGCATGATCTCCACTTGATCAGGTGCTCAGGTCTGGGCAAAACTTTTGCCAGCTCAAGTGTCTCTTTCTTTGGTGTCCCCTTCTTTTACCATTCCTTGTAGGATGGTTTTGGAGAGGCCTTGTAATCTGGTTAGTAACCCTAACCACTTCAGCTTCCTCTTCTTTATGGTGGTCAACATGTCTCTATAGCCATTTGTCTGATGACTCACTCTTCTGCACACTTCTTCATTCATGTCATGGTTTGGTTAGTTTTGTTTAGTGACATATCAACACCTCTATGGGTTATTTAATGCTGAAATTTAAAGCTTCAACTATTTTGAACACCATTGTATACTTTTAACTACAGATAAAATTTATTGTTGTTTATTTTACTATGAATATGTACTGTTGGTCATTTTACTATGAATATGTACTGTTGGTCATTTTACTATGAATATGTACTGTTGGTCATTTTACTATGAATATGTACTGTTGGTCATTTTACTATGAATATGTACTGTTGGTCATTTTACTATGAATATGTACTGTTGGTCATTTTACTATGAATATGTACTGTTGGTCATTTTACTATGAATATGTACAGTTGGGCATTTTACTATGAATATGTACTGTTGGGCATTTTACTATAAATATGTATAGTTGGTCATTATACTTTAAATATGTACAGTTGGTCATTTTACTATGAATATGTACTGTTGGTCATTTTACTATGAATATGTACTGTTGGTCATTTTACTATAAATATGTACTGTTGGGCATTTTACTATAAATATGTACTGTTGGGCATTATACTTTAAATATGTATAGTTGGTCATTTTACTATGAATATGTACTGTTGGTCATTTTACTATAAATATGTACTGTTTATGTTTTTTTATATAAAAATGTATTGCTGGTATTTTTATACTTTCATTATGTTTTGTTTGGAGCTTCACTATTTGCCCATAGCTGGTACCCTAATAGGTTCTACCACACCGAGCAATGCTCCTCCAAACCTCCAATCTGCCAATAAGAGGTCTTGCTGCCAGATTTAGTTTATCGTCATATCCAGGATGTTCATGTCACAGTTGGTGTAGAAAATACCAAGCAGACATCTGAAGCATCTCATCTCTTAGATCTACCTTTGAAGTCCTGCAGTTAGAGTCCATAACTCGAATGCATACAAAAACTGACAAGATGAAAGTGAGCTTTTTTGTCTCTCCACATCATGGCTGTTGTCAACACAATTCTCACATTGGCCTCTGGCATGGATCCATCTTAACTGATGATTACACCAAGGTATTTGAATTGTCTCACTGTCTCCAGGTGCTGAGCACAAATTGTAATCATTGTCCTGTTGGTTTCTTCACTATTTCTCATCAGTTTTGTTTCCTTGGTATTGATTTCCATGCCATAACCATACACCTAACCAGGTTAACCAGTTTGTTTTCACTTCCAGTCAAGCCATCGATGTCATCAGGAAATCCGAGATTTGTAATTGTTTCCCTTCCAATACTGACTGTTGGTTTTCAATGGCATCTAACATTATTTTTTTCCAAGAAGATATTGAAATGGCAGAAACGTTGTGAATTTGACAATGAAGATTAGGACAATAGTCCGAATTATGTAAATAGTAAGTTCTTCACTATTTACATTATTTGGATTATCGTCATCTTTGTTGCCATGTTTATCATAACGTTTCAGCCGTTGTATGCTCTGGCCTTCTTCAGATGGTTGGAATTTCGCTCACTGGGGTAGACTGTTCTAGTTCCACATTACATTAAAATCACATAGTTGATAAAAAAAAGTCCACCAGAAAGTCCATGAAAGGATTTTGGAATGAGTTGGGTAGAGGATCTGCTGGGAATATGCAGAGGATTGGCCAGAAGACCATGCAGTTAGTTCATCCACACAGAGTCTGGCCAGAGTTGCACAGGAGTGAGTGGGCCCAAAGTTTGAATAATTTCTCACTGCAAGAGAGCTTCAATACTCTATCTTCTCTTCTCAGATCAAAACAAATACCAACCCACAATCACATTCCCCTAATATCTCAGTTATCCCTTCTCAAGATTTTAGTGTAAAATTCAAAAGAGTGAGTGTAACCTTTTTGGACAGCTTATGCTATAAAATTCTTGGTAATTGTTACAGTAGCTTTTGTTTTGCTTCTCTGCTTATAATCTGTTCACTTTTTGAGTAAGGTACCAAGAAACCAAAAACCACAGCTCACCAAAATTGTACAACAGAGTGCTTCAAGAGGTGTGTTTCACCAGGTACACAACAAATCAACACTATACAACTTTATTTGGGATCCAGTGGCAAGTTGAAATCTCAAGTGGACGAAAGACACCCCCTGCTTGCAACATGTACTCTTCACTTGGTATTTGGTGCTAATGACAAGAAGAGGTGAAAACTGCTATCACGTTTAGCAAGAACGAACATATGTTGGATGCCCTGACCAGGTGGATGAGAATATTTTCTGTCAGGACCAAGGGGATGGATATATTTGGCACAGTGGGGGTGAATAATTCAATAAATATAAACAAGATCTATAAAAAAGAATACCTGCTCGGCCCGGTGGCTAGGATCAAAATATGTAGTATCTGCGCTTTGTGAGTTGCCTATCGGGTGTCTGTTGAACTCTCTGCTTGTAGAGAGGAACCTGGACAAATTCGCCCCAAAGGGTAGGGTTTAGTTGGGGAGGTTGACAGAACTGGCCCACCTCAGTGGGTTTGGATGGTTATTTATTTTTTGGCTGGGCCTTACGGGCTCAGAGATACCTACATTAAAAAAATAAAACCATGCCACATTCGATCCCCGTGGGTGGATTGATAAATACCATCTCTAAAAGAATACCCGGCTTTATTGGCTAGGATCAAAGTGTAGTATCTGCACTTTGTGAGCTGCAATTTTGTTGAACTCTCTGCTTGCAGAGAAACCTGACCAAGCTCCAATTAAGGGTAGGGGTTTCGTTGGGGGAGGTTGACGGAACTGGCCATTCGGCTATTGGATGGTTATTTATTTTTGGCTGGGCCTATTTCAAAGATATCCACATTAAAAAAGCCTTATGCCACATTCGATCCCTGAGGGTGGATTGATAAATACCATAAAGGTAAACAAGTATTTAAATAAAATATCTTTAAAAAAAAAAGGACAGATGTTGTAGGAAATAAAGAAAAAAACTTACTTTAAAAATTCGGTCCATGCAGAATTACAGGCCATTTCTAATTGTTCATTTCGCTGGTTCAAAAGTTTATATTTTTCTTCAATAAATGGGGAGTGGAAACGAGATACAGCTTTTGTGCTGAAAAGAGGAAAAAAAAACATAATTAACAGTGAATACAAGATTTTATTTTATATAAGGTATATTTAGGCAGTAAGAATTCATACAAGTAAGTTTTATTAAATTCAAATGACAAGGAGCGTCGGTTTAGTAGGCGTCAACAGTCAAACTTTTATTACTTAACAATATAAAGGTTTACAACTCATCATGCTGAAACACTGGTATCTGTATGATCACTGAAGTTAAGCAATGTTGAGACTGGTCTGTACCTAGATTGGTGACTGCTTGGGAATATCAGGTGCTGTAAGTTTGGATGTGTGGGTGGTGTATAATGTCTAATCTCTTGGAATTATTAATTGGAGTGCCAAGTTCAAATTCCATTTGGGTTATGTGCAAATACCTTTGAGAAACATATCAATGCCTCTTCTACCCCCAGCTATGGTTTAATTAGTGAGTCTTGTGTCACTAAACCATTATTATTTCTGAAAATAAAATTGTGTACTAAATATCTAGATTTCACTATTAAATAACCTGCAAATGGTTGATATGCTGCTAAACAAAAACAATCAAACTATATAAAAAACAAATCTACAAGCAAAAATTGAAGTTTTCACAATTACAAAAGTTTTGTAATCTATTATATGTACATAATACAAGTAATAACAGAAAGACTTCAATGTAAATAATACAGTATTTAATTAACAATGCAATTAAAATACATTAACAACAAAGAAGTAAAGATTAAATGGAAAGATTATTGATCACTTATAAGTTAATATACGACTGCATAGAGCTGTTAAGAAAAGTACTAATTCGTCTTGAAACACGGGACACTTGACTTTAATGTCCGGGTTAACACAATAGTTAGCGTGTAATTGTAACAACAGTTAGTGGTAGGATATTTCTATTTATAGTAAATGGCAGTCTACATTTTCATTGTCTAGAGATTTATGTTCAAACTCTGGTATCAGTAGTGACACTTTTCATTCATATATGACAAAAAGTGAATGTGCTCATCAAGAAAATAAATAGTGGTTATAAAAAGCACAATTAATTATGCTGTTTTTCCTGGGACACATTATTTTATAGAGAATTGAACAACATAAAACAAAATATTTATGCTAATGACACAGCTATCTAAATGGTAAGTCTGATTGGTTTGATAAGGTCAAATTGGCAGCTGATCTAAAAAAATGACATACATTCTGTTGTTAACTGGAGCAAGGAATGGCTTGTTAATTTTAACACTTCCAAAATGGAACTCTCATTCTGGACCAAAAATGTTGTGAGAACAACTACAAAGATGAAGATAAAAGTCCAAATGTAAATAATTTAAATAATGCTCTCTTTTAATTGTCTTAAGAAAACCATTTTCACTTTCCAACAGCATACTTTATGGAAACCTTCAGGAGAGTAACTTATTCCACCTTTTCTGGCTAATGTTTTTTGCGGACATAAAGTGCAAAGATTATATTGAATGAATTGCTGTGTTGTGCTAGACAATTTTTCTTGTTGGAAGCTATCTTACATATTTATAAGTCTATTATTGGTCCATGCATTGAATATTCCAGACACATCTGGTCTGGTGTTTCTGCTATGAATTTAGAGATTCTTGATAAAATCCAAAGAAGAATTTGTAATGCTATTGGTTCTGACCTGGCATCTCGCCTTCAGTCACTTTCCCATCACTGTAACATAGCTTCCCTGTGCCTTTTTTATAAATACTTTCATGGTAATTGTTTTGATGAACTTTCCTATACATATAGGGGCTAGTTAGGATTTCATCGAAACTCTGGTGTTTCTGGTATGAATTTACATTCTTGATAAAATCCAAAGAAGAATCTTCAATGATATCGACCCTGACAAGCATCTCAGCTTCAGTCACTTTTCCACCACTATAAGGTAACTTCCCTGATGAGGTACCTTGATTTTACAAATTAGGTACCTTGATTTATGACTAGGTACCTTGATTTTACAAATTTAAGAGCAGTATTAAATTGGCAGCTTTTACAGTTGAAATGGCTAGACGTAAACATAAGTTCTATGTTAACAGTTTCTTCTCTCACATTTCTTGCTTGTGGAACATTCTTCTGGCTTATTGCTTTCCACTCAACTTTGATCTTCAAAATTTTAAATACAATATCAATTGTTATCTTCTCACCTCTTAACTCATGTCCTTTTATTGTTTCCCTTCCTTAATAATGTTTTTCTCTTTTTCATAGTCTCTTACACTTAGTATGACTAAAAATTTGAACATGGGTTTCTTGATTTCATTTTTCCTACCATTAGTGATGTGACTAACTCTTCATGTTCAAGTTATAAGCCACTTGAATGAAATTTTAGTGAAGACTGAAATTAAACAAAATTTTTACCTGCTAATCTTAATCCAGTCCTGTGGAACTCTGCTCATCAAATCATTTTTTACTTCAATGAGAAACTAAAAAAAAAGTATAAATCTTACAATTCAGTTTAATAATAATAATATTTCAAAGCATATTAAAGCACATCCTCTATTTACATTTAATATTAAAAGATAACACATTAATACCTGGCATAAAATCCTGTATTAATTCTAAAAATAAAAAAATTCAGTGTTAATTATAAAATAAAAATGCAGTGTAAATTATGAAAAGTAAAATCAAGTCTTAATTCAAAAATTATAATAAAAATCTGGTGTTAATTTTAAGTTTATAAAAAAAAAAGAAATTAATTTTAAATTAATTTTTACGTTTATAAAAAAAAAATTATTAATTTTTTAAAAAAATAAAAAAAAAATAGATTAATTTTAAATTTTTGGTTTAAAAAATAGATTAATTATTGGTTTATAAAAAAAAAGATTTTTTACATTAATTATTGGTTTATAAAAAAGATTAATAAAAAATAGATTAATTATTGGTTTATAAAAAAAATAGATTAATTATTGGTTTATAAAAAAAAAAGATTAATTATTGGTTTATAAAAAAAAGATTATTAATTATTGGTTTATAAAAAAAAATTAATTATAAAAAAAAAATTAATTATTGGTTTATAAAAAAAAAAAATTAATATTTGGAATTGGTTTATAAAAAAAGATTAATTGGTTTATGATTAAATATTATAACCTATTAATGAACATTTGGTGTTCAAAAATTCCCATTTTTTGGATGGTGGCATTAATGGGTTAATACTTAATTATTCATAAAAATTTCTGTGGTATTAACAGCAATAATATATTTATATTTATATAATTAATGGGTATATATATATTCATCACCATCATCAAGGTTCTGTCCGAATTTTGAATAAAGAAAACAAGTGACCAAATGTTACATTTAATTACAGATTCAATCAACAATGTATTTTCCCTGATTATCTATGACTTCCTTCCATCTATTAACAAGCTTACTAATTCCATTACTGTAAAATTCTTTTTTTGCTTTGATTCGAAGAACTCACAAATGTCAGTTTTAACCTCTTCCTGTGTTACAAAAGCTGTTTCTTCCAAATGATTCTGTAAGCTACGAAACAAATGGTAGTCTGAAGGAGCAAGATCGGAGAATAAGGTGGATGAGGAATTTTCTCCCAACCAAGTTTTTTTTTGATCTTTTGTGACGTGATTCTTGCTGTGTGGGGTCGCATTGTCCTGATGAAACATCACCCCTTTTCGATTCACTAGAGCAGGTCTTTTTTCCTCAAAGCTTGGTTCAAACGCTCTAATTGCTGACAGTATATTTGAGCATTAATTGTTGCATTAGGTGGTAAGAATTCAAAGTGGATTATTCCTTGGCGATCCCACCAGATTGAAAGAAGAACCTTTTGCCCATGAAGTTCCCTTCTTGGCTGTGGCTGGGGTCCCCTTTACCAAGCCACTGTCTACGACACTTAACATTTTGATAAAAGATCCATTTTTCGTCACCAGTCACAAGTCTATCCAAAAAAGGTGAAACAAGTTGGCGAGAATGGAGAGAAGAGCAGATGTCAACTCGGGATTTGAGGTTGTTTTCAGACAATTCATGAGGCACCCATTTTCCAAGTTTAGGAACTTTTCCAAGTTGTTGAAGATGACGATGAAGTGTTGTATGGTTTGAACTGAGAACCACTGCCAATTCCTCAACTGATAAAGCAGGATTTTCTTCAAGGGCTGCTTCAAGAAGCTTTTCATCAAACTCAACTGGATGTCCGGTTCGATCTTCATCTTCAAGGTGAAATCTCCACCTTTGAATTTTGCAAACCATTTTCTGCAAGTTCTTTCATTCACACATTCCTCTCCATAAGGGAATGTTTCTAGCCGCTTCAGCCGCTGATTTTCCTTTCTTGAACTCATAAAGCATTATGTGCCTCAAATGATTCTTGTGTACTTCCACGTTAGCAGGGTTTTAATCGAACAAAATTTAATTTTATTGTTCTCTGAAATAAAATTTGATCCGTTTAAATGCATCTAAACATAAAAATAATGTTCAGCTCCATTAGACATTATAAAATATTCTTTAAATTTCGTTCATTTTAACAAAAAGTTAAAATTCAGACAGAACTTATGGGATGACCTGATACGTATGTGGTGGGTGATAGTTTTTCAGATATTTTTAAAAAAAGATATGGAGTCTTATATAGTATTAAATATTGTAGTGTAATTAAATCATAGTTTTTGAAAATATTTTGAATTTAGAAAAGTAAATTTTAAAATTATGATGAGCATGAAGCAAATCTTGATTAGAAAATATGTTTAATTATCAAGATCATTAATATTGAAAGAAAAAAAAAGAAAAAAAAGAAAATGACCTTAATGATTCAAATATCTTCAGTAAGTACTGTATGGTGAACATTTTTTACATTGAAATATTTGGCAATTATGACAGAATTTAAAATAAATTCAGCTACTTACCTCCACACCTGAGACAGAGGAATAAGTAAAAGAAGGCACTTTGAGAATCTGCTGAATTGTCTTCCGATATTCATCAATTTCCTTCCTGATACCTTTGATTGCAGACTTTTGCTCCACAATATCGGGAAACTGAGTTTCATTTACAAAAAGGTTGGTTTTATTGTTTGATCTGAAAATACAGAAAATAACCGTTCATTGATTGATTTCTTTGTTTAATGGCATATCAACTCCTTATGGGTCATATAATACCAAAATTTAATTTTCTTGGGAACTTTGAAGTAATAAAAATATGATATACATTATTCTGCTTTCACAACTGGATACATGGTAGATAACACTCAACTTTTGTGCAGATTTATGTTTGTGTGGACATGATTACTAGCGGTTGTAATATGTATGTTTTATGTTGTAGTTTTGTTGAATTTTATATTTTGGAATACAGTTTGATTTCTTTTAGAAATTGTAGGATACTATATGGATTAATATCATGAAAGAGTTCTTTCATGTTGATTGTTTACATTGACCTATATATATATATAAGGTCATTATTTAATTTTAATGCCAAAATCTAAATATTTGTACATAGTTTTATGCTTTCAACTACAGATATTTTGTTCATAATTTTATACTTTCAGAGTAAAGGTATGTTTTTTAAATATAATTGGTAGATCATAAAATGTGTTGTTGGTGACATTTGAAAGAATAATTTCTTTTTTTTTTTATTTTAGTGAAAAGATATTATTTTACACTATTAAAAAAATGTAAGTATCTCAACTACAGACACTTAAGATTGTATTTGAACTCTTCATATTTAATTTAATTTCTCATTTTTCTTTCTCTAAAATGTATTATCAATATTTTTGTAAATTTTTTTTTTAAATTCTATCTCTTATTTTTCTGTGGACTCACAAGAGTCCACCAAAATTCTTTGTGGATCAAATGTACCAGGGTATAACAATCTCATCAAAAGTGTTGATACCCACAACGAACAATTCACTTAAAATATATCTTATTTCTATAAGTGTACACTTACAATAGATCCAATAACTGTAAAAATTTACAATGATATAAATATCATGTAATAGATGTTTATATAATAAATTTACGTTTACAATAGATCCAATATCTGTAACTGTACACTTACAATATATATAATTTCTATAACAATATAGTTATGACAAATCTTATTTTTTTAATTACAAATATAAACGAAAGAAAATGTCAGTAAAACATAGTAGGACATCACTATCCATGGAATGACCAATTTCAGATCATACCATCTAAAAATCACCAACTACAGTCTCATTGAACTAAAACTTCTTTGCAAAATTTGTTTCAAAACAGTTATAAACAACAGCAAAAAAACAAGTAGACATCCATCTTTAATAATCATAATACTTGGAAAATAAAAAAGAAATAATTTAAATGACTTCAAAGCCATCAAAATATTGGTCATAAGTTCCCGAGAGAAAAGATTCAAATTCATTAAAAAAAAAGTGTCTTGTTTACAACTGAAATGTTTTTGGTTAGTTTATTTCTTTTTTACAGTTAGTTTGTAATTCAAATATAGGGTATATGTCATCAAATAGACTGCAGATATACCGGTTGTAACAGTAAAATTGTTCAATGGTTAGATTAAGCTTTGACCCGTTGTATCTTAGAAATGATTAAAGATATCTTACTGGAATTCTCCGAGGTTTTTATAACACTATAGGACTCTACTTTGAATAATAAGAATGTATTTAGCTCTAAGTTGAAATGATGACCCCTCTTACTGTTGTGACCTCCTCATCCAGTTTTCCTCTCTACTGTTCCCTCTTTTTTTAAACTTATTCACTGTTCTCTTGATGGTTCTTGAATGGATTTTGAAGATGAAAGCCAGAGTATGAATATTGGTAGCATTACTGAAGGCCTGAATGATCTTTTCCTCTCACCATTGCTCAGGTGGGAAGATTTTTAACCTGTTCTCTTTCCAGCTTAACTCTAAGGGTTTTTCAGTGATTCTTATGACAAATGGTATCAAGATAGTTAAATGTCTTATCTGAAAACCTGGAAAAAAGAAACTATTAGTTTAGTGGTTTTTTAGATATTAAACATTTTGTGGTATGGACAAGTTATCCCATGCTGTTACACGATTTGGACAATTTTGCTGTTACACTTGGTATAATAAAAAAAAAAAAAAAAGGTTTTGAACATACAAAGCCTATATTGTTCCTTACCATTCACAGATCTACACATCCATGAATGCCTTATCTACTTTAGATTATGTGGTTGTACTGTAGATTTATAAGATTTAATTAAACTCAATAAGATTAAAAAAAAATGCAAGAGGATTGTGAAGTTAGGAACAAATTTAACACTCACTTAAGAGCCTCAAGATTAAGGGCATTGCTGAAGACGCCGATGTCACCAAGTAATTCTGGGATTTCATTCACGATTTCCTTTAGCATTTGGCTTTTGACATCTTTGAGAAACATGTTTTTCTGAATATGATATTCTTCTGAGATCTTTTGCAATGAATTGCTGATCGATATAAATTCTAAAGGAGTACACTGAAAATATAATTAGATGTTAACATTTATAAAATGATACAACAGTTCAGTTAGATAAAGTCTATCAGATTTTATATAGTAATATATGATTATTGGTGTTCTGAACTTAAGGAAACATGACAGATGACGTTTTGTCAAAGCTCAAAAAAAAAAAAAAAAAAATGGATTTTAAGTTTAACTGAAAAACATAAATATAGCTTAAAAGTAATATAATTTGCAATTATTATTTATTTTATTTATCATATATATTAGGATCATTATATTTATTTGAAGTTATATAAATTATAAATTATTATTATCTACTATCTATATTTCTCATGTTGTCTGTCTGTGTGTCTGTCGTGGGCGTTGTTACCTCGCCCAGGCCGCATTTCTCACCCGATTTCGATGTGGTTTTCAACACAAGTTTGCAAATGGCTGCCGTAAGGACATGACGGAGCCCAAGTTTTGAGTTCGGAATCAGGTTCCGAAAAAAATCGATAATCGAAAAAATTCTACTCACAGAAGGAATGATCGCATTTCAACCAAATTTGACACCCTCTTAGAGTCTACCATTAGAAGTGTTGTCCAGAAGTTTCATGACCATGGACCCCTAAACAGCGCGGAAAATCGATAAAACCCAAAAACCGATATGCCCAGATTGCGTCTGAACCGCATGTCGGTTTTTAGCGAAAACCGAGCGGATTTATGAAGAGGCCATTGGGAATCATCATGTGAAGTTTCAATTCTGAGCAGCCCCCAAACAGAGTGCAAATCGACAATTGGTCAACCCTTAAAAGTGTTTTTTCCAGTTTTTTAAAGCTGATCGTATTGTGTTTATTTTGTTTAGTTCTTTTTTCGTAACAGATTTAATGTTTACTATAGAGCTTAGAAAAAGTTGGCAGTGTGATATAGGCAAGAAGTAAGGCATGTAACAACATCAGCACGGCAAAGGGCACTCCTCTAAAGGCAAGGAAGGGCAAAAATATTTTAAGTCAAGTGATAGCGATTGCTGTATTAGTTGTACTATTTTTGAATCAAGCACGGGCAACGCTGGGCCATGCTGCTAGTAAATTTATAATTTCTTTCAACATTTTCAGTTAGTAGTTTTTTTCTGTATTAGTATTTATTTATTTTGTACAACTAACCTGAAGTTTTTTTGTCTTATTTTTACTCTCTGTTTTTGCTTACAGTTATATTTAACTTTGCATTTACTAGTATTTTTCATTTTTTATCATTTGATAGTTTAGGTGTTAGTACTGTCAAAAAGGCAGTATAAATATTTTATTGTATGTTAATGTCATATAGGAAAAAAATAAGTAACTACCGACACCAAAGTTTGAATGTGACAATCTGGACTTATGACTATATGTTTTCCGCCAGGTGTATAAATAGCGGTGACTGGGATGATTATTGAGTGACTATTTAGTGGAACTATCCAGTTGAATTAGTGTGAATTACTGTGTCGATGATTTGCGCCTTGATTTAGGATTTACCAGACATTAAGCTGAGCCACACTACTCACAAGGTATTCACTGAAATGGTTAATTTTTAGTTGACTTTTACTTCTTTGTTATTGTTAAGTATTTATTTGCGGTTGTAATTAAATACTGTTTTATTTTAACATTGAAGTCTTGAGTTATACTTAATCCTTAAGAGCCACTGTATGCCACAAAAGTTAAATAATGACATCATAATCTCTGAGTATTCTAGGCTTAAATCTCAATTTATATTTTCATTTTTTGTTTATTCTATTTTTTCTAAAATTAATAAACTTTTCAATATATGTGTTTGCTTATTTATACACTTTTTCATATAATACATATAGTATATACTTTTCATATAATACACATGTACTTTTTAGTATTTTGTTTATCTAATGTTTTATATATTTAAGTAATAAAGCATTATTTTTAGGGGAGCTTCTAAAACATGTTTATATATGTACATTATTTGTATATGTTCTAAAGGTTGCCATAACCGGAGGTGATAGTGGGGACAAGCTCCCACTGTCTATAAAATGCTTTCATGGCATGCGAATAGCTTATGGCAACTAAGCACAACTACAAGCCGGAAAATGGGCAAGGAGCAGAAAACTGGCACCTCATAACCAGCTGCTTCAGATAGAGCTTGACAGCTCAAGAAAGCAGTCTATCTTGGGGAAGGAAAAACCCTGATTTTAAATTTGAGCTGCCTTGTGGTTAATATCAAAATATGGAAAAGGCTATGGAAGCAAATCCAGACAGAAAACAGAGTGGAACCCCAAAGGCAGTTGGCTGTTAACACTGATAACTTTCCAGCAACTACTGCAGCCAATCTAAACCCAAATGTCTTGCATTCCTTTGGATCTTGTCAATATAGCTGAGAGGGGGAGGGGATATAGTCTGGATAGCACACTGCCTCTGTATATCATTGTTGGGTCTGTAGAAGTCACTCCAGTTTCACTACCAAAGGACTGAATTTTGACTAAATAGGGCACGACTTTCATCTCACAAGATAAATGGATGTCTACTAAGGAAAAAGACCTTGTCAAATTTATTTGCATGATAATAACTAAGTTGAAATCAGAGGTTCAATCATAAATTATAAGTTTCCAGAATGCTGCCACAGTCGACACAAGAATTAACAAGGTCAGTTTGAAAAACATCTACTGGGGAAATTATCAACGATGGACCCTTTCTGTATGTATTTAGTCATTTTGGATATCTTTATCTCCCATTATTCTCATTATGCAGTATCTTTTATATATTTAAGTAAAAAAGCATTATTTTTAGGGGAGCTTCTAAAACATATGTTTATATAAGTACATTATTTGTATATGTTCCAAAGGTTGCTGTAACTGGAGGTGATAGTGGGGACAAACTCCTTTTGTATATAAAATGCTTTTGTGGCACGTGTCTCAAATAACCTCTGACAACTAAGTCAAGCTCCAAACCAGGGAATGGACAAAGGTGGACAACTGTTGTTTCATAACCAGTTGCTTCAGGTAGATGGAGTTCAATAGACCAGGTAGGCAGTCCATCTATGAGAAGGAAAAGCTTGATTTTAAAACTTTGTTGCCTTGTGGTCATATCCAAACATGGAAAAGGCTATGGAAGTAAATCCAGACAGAAACCCATAGTGGAGCCCCAAAGGCAGTTGACTGTTAACACTGATGACTTTCCGGCAATTCCTGAAGCTAAGCCTTTGCCAAATGTAATATCCTGTATTCTTTTGGATCTTGTCGGTACGACCGAGAGGAGGGATCATGCAGTCTGGGTAGCATAAGGCCTCTATATACCATCACCCAGGCCTACACTCCAGTTTCACCACCAGAGGACTGAATTTTGACCAAACAGGGTGGTACCTTTATCTTGCAAGATAAATAGATAACTAATATATGATCAGTAAACAAATTGTGAGTGTAAGAATGTTTTTATGCTTACTATTGTTCACTCAATACAAGGCTCAAGAGTCACTCAAGATAGAGGTTTACTGAATGAGATTGTTGTAAGGGCATACAGGGAGGGAGCAAGAGGTGCACATTATGGGGATATATAGGATAGATAATGGTTGATTATTTGATTCATTTTTTATGACTTATCAACCCTTTGCAGGTTATTTAAACCCAGAAAATATTTTTAGATTATAAGGATTTTTCTTTTTAAGATAATAGTGGTTTAGTGATAGCAGTCTTACTATTTAGCTCATAACTAGCAGGGAAAGAGGTGGATTCATACCTTTCCCAAGGGTATTTGTGTATAACTGTATATAACAAAACACAACAGGAATTGTAACTTGGAGCCATTATACATTACACCACCTATATATCTAAGCTTACAACACCTGGTATTCTCAAGTGGTCACCCATCCAGGTACAGACCAGGCTCGACATTATTTAACTTTGGTGATCATATGAGAACTGGTGATCAATGTGATGTAGCTGTAAGCAGATAACATTCAACCCCTGACTTGAAGAAGTTAAGATTGTAGTGATCGGTGAAGCATCTTCTTGGGAGCAGTTCCATAATCCAATAGTTCTGGGGAAGAAGCCTCACTAATGGAATATGAAGGGAATGAGGATGAATTGACTCAGTGTACATAGCCAGTTGGGTCTTAGCTGTGTATGTCTGGACTGGCAGAACCAAAGATTGTAGTTCACCCAAACATCTAACATAGAAGTAGTGAGAGGTTAGCAATGTTTTGTCTGTGGGAAAAACGGTTGTAGGGTGGACAACAATTCATCACTCACCAGGCTGCACAAATTCTTTTGAATTCTATCAAGTGTTTGTGCTTTGTCTGCTCATTTTGATCAGCGATCAAAATCCTGGCTTTTTACCTGGGATTGAACACTGAATTCTGGCACCGGTGGGAAAGATGTAATTGTTACAGTTACAAAGCAGGCTTAATATTTACTATGCTCATTGACACTCAGAGAGCTTCCCCTCCAAAGAACTGCCACTTTGTGGAATAGACTCCCATGTAGATACTTCTCGGAACACTTTAATCTTTACCTCTTCAAAGTCAAGATTCAATCGTTATCCTCCTTATCCATTCATATTTTACACATCTTCATTCATCACTGCCATTTCAATTCTCTACCTTGAGTGGCTCTCATGCTTTGTATTGAGTGAAATTCAGATTAGTACAAGGTCACAGCAGTGAGGTGTTGAGAATGAACACAATGAGAACCAATCTCAAAAGTGGCACATTGGTGAAACATGTTTACTAAACATCTTAGAAGCTTCCAACTTTACCTAATTGATCATTTAGCACTCTGCATTATTCACTAGTATTATTTCTCTCTTTCATTGCATTCTTTTTCAAGGCTCCTCAAGAGCAGTAACTCTATTGTTCATTTCACTTTCTGTTGTCCTAGCAGGACATGACAGCACAACCTTGAAATTCAAACAAATTTTTTGCTTGGGCAATGGAATTGTCTCCAATGGCTAAAGGTCATTTAAGTATATTTTGAATTTGCAGAAATTTCTAACATATTTTGCTGTTGGATTCTAGAAAGATAATAAATCTCGAAAGTTTAGACAGGTTTCTTTATCAACTTATTAAAGGAGAGGGAACTATTTGCTATATTTGTTCTATTTAATACAAATATACTATTTGTATTTTTTTTTTTTTTAACAGCCATTACCCAGAATGAGTGGGTAGTGTAATGGATGATGGCTAAGAACAAGAAATTGGTAAGTTTGAAATCCAGTTGAGTTTGTTACATTTACTTTCATACAAATACCCATGAAAAATGCATGAACCCATCCTGTCTCTCCACAGCTGTGGGTTTAGTAAGGCAAACTGGTTTCTTCAACCTTGGTTGGCAACCAATCTCATAGAATGATAATTCATAATTTAAAGCCATATGTAACCCTGATGAAGCAATCCTTTCATTAGTTGCATAATACTTATGCAGTTAATGAAAGAATTGTGGTGTTAACAACAACTCTATGGCTGTAGTCAATATGATGGATTCATATTTAAAAATTCATACATATAAAAAAAATGATAATGTTTTTATTTTCAGATTTGCAGACTGGTTTTATGAACCTGTAACCTAGGAAGGGTTACCGAATGAGGAATAACTAAAACAGAGGTCAGAAATGAAATGGTAATCATTATAACATCAACAAAATACCATACTCGCCAGCAGCATGAAGTAGGTAAACCACTGCTAGTGGTAGACTACTTAGACAACATATTACCCCCACTTACAATAATGTCCAACATAGTTATGAGGAATGGGACATACCAATTAAATTTCATAGGTACAGTATATAATAGAACTATTCTTAAAACCAGTGAGTCTGTTTTTCTTGTCAATTCTTTTACCAAAGTAGTTATGATATTTAAAACTAATACAATCATCCTTATTAGAGTTCATTCAAGATTTGAAACACAGCATAAGTCATAAAAGACAGAATTTTACAGTTCCTTCTACTGACCTTTTTATATACAATTGTTACAAGTCCTTTTTCAAGGTCTGGAAGTTTTACCAAACTGGCCTTCATTGCAGAAAAACACTCACAATGATTTGACAACAGTTCTCCAATGGCTTCTTGTCTTTCTTCGATGTCTCTAAAATGAATGAACAGTGAAAAAAAGTTATAAGATAAAAGAAATATATATATATATATATATATATATATATATATATATATATATATATATAAAAAAACCTTGGTTGATTGATTTGTTTTCTATGGTTTATCACCCCTTTAGATGTTATTTAAAGCCACAAATTACTTTTAAATTTTAAGAATTTTTTTGAGATAATATTGATTTAGTAATACAAGTCTTACTAATTAACCCATAGCTGGTGGAGAAGAGAGTGATTCATACCTTTCCCAAGGGTACTTGCACGGAATATTCCTGCCACATCTGGTGTTCTACTATATATCCAGATGCCCGTGACAATATTCAAAGAATCTGCAATGTTATTAGTCTTGACCTCACATCTTGTCTTCAAATCACTTTCACACTGCCATAGTTTCCCACTGTCTTTTCTATAAATATCTTCATGGTAATCATTCTGATGAGCTTTCCTCATTGGTACCTCAACTTCTGTTGGCATTCAGTGTGTTCTTCCCACGTTTTGGTAGACACTAGTAATTACACCGCTCACTCTAGTGGTAGGTTCGAAGCTAGCGTCCAGCTTCCAGACAAAAATAAACAGTCATAACTTAATATGAAACTCTATAACAGTGCACATCACCACGGTCCCAGCTGCACTCCCAGCCAATGTCCCAGACTGGTTTTATTGACCAAAAACACGGCCAACGCACCAACCATCGCCATTGGCCTCATTCTCAATCAGAGTCCCCAGCTCGACCAATCAGCATGCAGACCGCCACTAGACAAATCATGCCAAGCAGCATAAAATAAACAAATGTTGGAGAATGTACTTTTCTTGGACCAAACTTGTGAGAGGAAAGGATGTAGCTGATGAAATGACGAACTGTCTAGCTTGGTTTTATGCGCATATCCGTCATAAAACAGCAGCCCACCAAGCAAAACATCTTGGACGCTTCGAATCTGGTAAGTGCCAATATGTATCGTCACAACTTCATGAATTTAAGTGCAGTACTTGATTGGCAGCTAGGTCTCATAATTTAACTGTTGAAATTGCAAGATGTAAACTCAAATTTTATTCTAATAGTTTCTTCACTCATACTACTTGTTTGTAGAAAACTTTTCTGGATTGTTGCTTTTCTGAACTACGATCTTCAAAAATTTAAATGCAGTGTCATCATCTGAAATCACTGTCCTTTCTCCTCAATAATTGCTTTCTCAGTTCCTTTCACTCTCAGTACCCCCCTTGCATCTTAGTGGCTTTATTACCATACTTGGGTGAAATGATAAAAAAAATAAAATAATTGTATTTGAGCTAGGGTAAATAAGACTAAAAAGAAAAAAATTGCTTTACCTGATCTTCAATAAAGGATGACTGACCCATGAATGCAACAGCCTTTTACCAAAACTGGTTGTTGTGTGGTCAAGAACCCAGAATAAACTTCCTTTAGTCTGTCGAGTAGTTAAATTTTGAAACAGTTCTAGATTCTGCACTGTTTTAGCTGGAAGCTTTAAATAAGATGACTCTAGAGAGAAAGGCTTGAAACAACTGCAAAAAAAAAAAAAAAAAAAAGAAAAAAAGAAAAGTCTATAAAACATAAAAGATATAATAAATAATAAATATGACTAACTAAAATAAAATAAAAAATATAATATAATAAATATAAAATAATATATAAAAAAATATGTCTATAAAAAATAATATAATAAATATGAATAACTAAAATAAAATAAAAATATAATAAATATAAAATAATATATAAAAAATGTCTATAAAAAATATAATAAATATGAATAACTAAAATAAAAAATATAATATAATATATAAAAAAATATGTCTATAAAATATAAAAAAAGGCTATAATAAATATGAATAAATAAAATGAATAAAAATATAATAAAATAAATATAAAATAACATAAAAAATATGTCTATAAAAAAAACAAAACAAAATATGTCTATATGTCTAAGAATATGATTAATCTGATGAAGAGTAGGCAGAGTACAGATTGAATTAGTCATAATTTAAAAAGAAACATAAAAATTAATTTTGATATAAAAGCTATATAGACAGATCTAGTGTCCCCAATATAAAATTTACTATATCAGGATTTCCCTGACATAGTAATTTCATTAAGTTCTATGTTAACAATTTCTTCTCTAAGACTTTTTGTGGAACTTTCTTCCAGCCTTTAATTTAAATACAGTGTCAATCGTTATCTTCCATCTTCTTAATTCCTGTTCTTTTATTGTCCTTAATGTTTTCCATTTTCTCATATTCTCTCACACTTAGTCACCCGTGTCTCTTAGCGGCTTTATTGCCTTGTTTGGGATGAATTTAAAAAAAAAAAAAAAACAGCTGAATGCTTCTTCCCAATTATTAGTCCATTAAATTGAAGGTTTACTGTGTTACACTTTATTCAATGCACAGGTATTATGATTCAAGAGATTCAGGAGTTGCATTGAGGGTCCCAATAATACCCCAGCAAAATAAGCATCTTAAGACTTATCCAGACAACAGAACCCATTCTTTGTTATGTAAACACCTTAAGAAGAAACTTGAAGCAACAGAAATGTGATTCTACAGAAGGATACTGAGAATACCACAGACCAAACATGTGTGCAATGACAAAGTTTTAGAGAAAATGGAAACAAAAAAGAATACTTATACTTAACATCAGAAAGAGTTTTAATTTTTTGTGCAGATAATGAGGAAAGAGGACTTTGAAAATTTTATACTCACAGAAGAGATTGAAGATAAGCGGTACAGTGGAAAACAATGCATAACATACCTAGTGAGCTTGAGTAAATGGATGACAGAACAGGATTTAGGAGAGATAACAAAAAGACAAAATTTATTAAGAGCTAAAAAGGGTAAGGAATTATGAAGAGCCATGATTGCCAAGCTCATGGCACGTAGAAGAAGGAAAGGCTGATAAATTTTGTCTTATTTAAGTGATTAAAAATTTACTTACCTGGTTACTTTAAGAATTCTCTGGAGCTTGAATTCAGACAGATAATCAATAAGAGCAGACAGACAACATGTGACTGCAGGGGGTAGTCTAATTACTTCTTGGAGATGACAAACTCCATCTGCAGAATTGAAAATTCAAAATAAAGTTGTCTTTTTTGTTTAAAAATTTTAAGAAAAATCAAAAAGAAAATTTTCATTTCAATTAAGAATTTTCCCATAAAAAGCAAATAAAGAAAGCCTGTCTTTTTCATTTTTTTTTTTTTCCTAGACTCACTTTTTTACTTTCATTGATGGTAGGAAAATGGTTAGTTCCTTCTCTCACTCCATAAAGTTTGATTCGACCTGTTATGCCCTATCTTTACAAGGGGCCATTCAGATCAAAAATGGAGTATTACAGCCATACTTGAGCTGGAGCTTCCCAGTCCTCACTTTCCAGTTTTGGTAGAGTTCAAAAGTGATTACACAGCCTCATGGGTAATGAATTATTTTCCACTGTCCAACCCTTTTCCTCCCCACAGATGAAATGTTGGGAGCTTTTTGCTACTCCATTGATACATTCTGACGAACTATATTCATCAGTTCCACCAGTATAGACCTTCATAGCTAAGACCTGCCATACCATATTTACATAGTCAAATTACCTGTATTCCCTTTGTATTCCATTGGTAAGAAAGGAGTTCCAAGCATACAGTTTTTCATCAAGAAATGCTACTTTGTGGCACAGCCTTCAAAGAGGATTCCTTCCTGATCACTACAATCTTAACCTCTTCAAACGTAGGATCAACTGTTATCTATTCTACATATCCTTATAACTTGCACTTCTTACCTTCTCTTAAAATTTTCAGTGCATGAGTTATTGCATTTTAATCTTGGAGGAAGGTAGATTAACAATCAAAAACAAAAAAAATTATACCCCTCAAAAAGAATTTAAGGATTCCAATCTATCTAACTATATATAAAATTCTGTGACTTCCATTAGTTCGTTTGCCACACCCTCTAAAATAGCCATAGATTGACTGATGAAAACAAAATTTTGTGGAGGAGTGCAAACAGGTAAGGGTGTAAAAAGTTCAGTTGTTTTTACTAGGGTGTGTAAAAATGATGAAGTAGGGTTTTGGTCAAAGTATTTTTCCAAACAAATCAGCTCAAATTTCATCTACATTTTCTATTTTTCCAAACAAATCAGCTCAAATTTCATCTACATTTTCTATTTTTTCAAACAAATCAGCTCAAATTTCATCTACATTTTCTATTTTTCCAAACAAATCAGCTCAAATTTCATCTACATTTTCTATTTTTCCAAACAAATCAGCTCAAATTTCATCTACATTTTCTATTTTCCTAAACAAATCATTTCAAATTTCATCTACATTTTCTAAACAAATCAGCTCAAATTTCATCTCGGTTTCGTTCAAACCAATGTTTTCGAAATTGAACGAAACGTCGATAAAATATTTTAGCGATGACTTCAACAATACTGTGAGGATTTCAACAAAATAAAAAAATCGCAGTAAAAAAAATATTTGGTCTGGTAAGTGAATAAGGGAGATAACTATTCACAAACATGACCGATTAAGGGTTTAAGGGAGGTAACAATTAAAAAAGCGATCTGATAAGGCTTTAAGAGTGTGTGTGAGTGCGTGTGTGTAGTACAAGCACTTTTTTTTTTAACAACCATTCTTTTATAAGATTTCTGATACACTCACCTGTTGTTTCTTGGTCACCATAAAAGGTAGTTATATTTTCAAAAGCTGTTTGATAGACAAATTTGTCATCGTTCAAATTTTCTATCCGCATACGATCATCATCTGAAAAGCTAATTTAAAATAGTTCATAGAATAACTTGAACACATGAAAGCAAATCAGGTCACAATTGTCACATGTTAAGACAGAAATCATTCAACGGTCAAAAAATGTTATGATTTTTAGAAAGGTTTTTTTTTTTGTCAAACAGAAAATGTGCCTGCAATAAGACATGTCAAAAGGAGAATTTTTCCCAAGGCACCACTTTTTTATTTTTTTTTTTTAATTACCTTTATTCTTCGGCAATGCTTATTGTTTTAAAAAGTGATGATTAGATTTGGAATAAAATCTAAAAACATGATGAAAGTGAATTTATATATTCCTTTTTCTTCTCGAGAATTTACAACAAAAATATGAATCACTATTTATTTATTAGGTAGTTTCTTTAAAAGAATAATTTTATATTTACATCATAAAAATAAAATTTAAAAACTAAATGCATTGCAATATTTATCATTTATCAATTTATAAATAAAGAAATAAAGGTGAAAACAATTTTTTATTCATAAATTTATAAACATTTACTAAATTATTAAAATATGTGAATAAGGAAATCCTTATTATTTACCATTTTATAAAGTTTGAAATTTGAATCAGTTAAAAATTAGCCAATGTTTTGCCAAGCATTCCAATAAATAATATAACAAATAGTGTTTATTATTTGTGTTGTTAATTCTCAAAAACAAAATATATAAATTCACTTTCCTCATGTGTTTAGGTTTTATTCCCTCTCTAATCGTTTTCTGAAACAATAAACAATAAAGAGTGAAGTTAGTTAAAAAAGCATTGGAAAACCATCTTTTTCACACTCCGTCTTATTGTGTATACGTTTATGCATGTTTGCTGAATTTTTAGTCAAAATATATGACTCCGTCTGGAAATGATCCAGCTATTTAGTGGATTAAAATGTTGGTTCATGAATTTGGTGACATAGCAATTGTGAGTTCAATCCCTAGACCACATAATACAGATTTAGATTCAGTGGAAATAGGGCTAGCAACAACTGAGCAGTACTAAATAAGAACAAGACATCTCAAGACATAGTGAAACAAGAACATGCTATCCCCATAGATTAAATAAAGTGTTCAGTTTGAAATTCGCTGATGGTTACCCAGATTGAGAAATGCCTGAAGAAGGCTGGAAAACACAGCAGTCAAAATGTTTGGATAATAACAACAAAGATGAGGGTAATAGTCAGAATGTAAATAATAGGAGTTACATATTATGAATTTAGGATTAGAGAGTAAGAGGGTTTGATTTGTGTATATTTTGGACAAGTAAAGTTCAAAGATTAATAGGAAGAACTGCTTACCTGATTGAGGTTAAGTGTTGAAAAAGATCTTTAGTTGGTTTGGAGAGAGTAACAGGTAAAATCACTTCCACTGGTTGGAGGTGAGTGATTCCAGTTTCAAGTCTACTGCGAGTAATGTTATCATCAAAACAATCATAAATCACTTCCCCAGTTGCTGGTTGGACAGCCTGAAAAAGTAGAAAAAGAAAGAAAAAAGTAGAAAAAGAAAAAAGAAAAGAAATTGAAAGATTTAAGAATATAATAATTCAAAAGTAAAGCAGATATTTTCAGATAGTGCTCAATATTAAAAATAATATTAAAAATAGAGCATTGATAATACGATAAAGTTACTTAACTGTAAATATCAGTTTTTGATGCTGTTTGGGGAAGCAATATCAAAAATTGATATTTACGATTATGTAACTTTATCATATTATTATATATAATGTATATATTTTTGTGGGGAATTTATTTTTATGCACATTGTTGTTGGGCAGAGTGAGAAAACACTCAATTGTAACATCAATTTTCATCCAAATATAGTGTACACATGTTGGGGGAGGGGGTGTAGATATTTTGATGAAATTTGCAAAATTTTTGCAATATTGTTACACTTTAACTTTACCTGAAGATCAGTGTGAATGAAATTTGCACCAAACAGTGAGGAAAAAAAAATTTATTTATTACTAATAATAATATATATATATATATATATATATATATATATATATATATATATATATATAGAGAGGGAGATGCAGAACTATAGTCTTAATATGTGCTATATTTATGGGATAAAGTGCTCAATATCAGAAATAGATTGTATGTAAATATATATATTATATATATATATATATAAAAATAAAATAACATGTAGAGCTTTTAAGTTTAAAAATCAGGAGGGCAATTAAAATATGCAACCTCGGTTTCGGCCTGGTGATCTCGTCGGGCATTAATTTCAAAATGACCATTTTAATGCTTTATTTAAACAAAAATCACAAAGAACGCTACATAATTATCTTTAAAAAAATAACAGGCATATGATGATTGAAAGACAGGACATTGGGTCTAATAGGAAGGGAAGTAGAAAAGGAGGTGAAAGAAAGAATGAAAAAGGACAGGAATGTAAGTGTTTTTTTTAAATACATACAGTAAAAAGGGAAATCAAATATATATAATAAATGTGAATGTCACTGTGTCACACTTTTTCAATTAAAGGGACACAACTCTCTAACTTTCACCAGCTCATGTTACAGAAATTTTGGATTCCCAAATTTTCATTACTGTGATTATTTTTGGTGATTTTTTTGACATGATTTTTTGTGACAATTTTTTTTTGTATGGTAACAGTTTTTATAATTTGGTAATAAATTTGGGAATAATCAAAATTATTTGTGAAATCCAGCGAAAATAATTGTTTGTACAGAAAGTAAGGACAGATACACATAAGTGGCAGCAGAAGAATTATTGCTGAACTTTTAAAAGGTAAGATTAAATAATAATGCAATAGTTAAATGCAGTGATTTTGAGTTCTTCTGTAGTTTATTGTTGCCTATTGCATATGGCAGCAGTATGCTTCAACAAAAAGAAATCTCCGCCAACACAGGATTAGGTTGCAATCAACAGAGTTAAGGCTACATTGAGGAAAAAAAAGTCCCATACAAATGAAAACCAAAATCAAACTGCAGCTAGGAGAGCTTCCAATGCTGAGAATATGCAAAAACATAGGGACTCTCAAACTCCTGAACAAGCTGAAGGCCCAATCAAGAGTTTTCTGCAGGAGCTAGCTTAAATGCTGCATGATAGGGTGACTGTTAAACATATATATATATATATATATATATATATATATATATATATATATATATATAGAGAGAGAGAGGGGGAGAGAATTTAAATAAGCATGAAGATAATCTCATATGAGACTGAAAGTACTTGGGAAAAAAAAATTATTTGAAAGAAAATTTTGGAAGTTTTCTTAATTTTCTACAGCTGCCAAGAAATTAATTTGTGAACTTGAAAGGATTAAAGCTAAAATAAATAGACATAATATGTCTAAATTATTTAAACAAACATATATGTGTGTGTGTGTGTGTGTGTGTGTGTGTGTGTGTGTGTGTGTGTGTGTGCACTTTTCAGTTGTAAATTGAAGGAATGAGATGTAACAATGTAAATCATTCACTGAATTTTTGAAAGGCCGTCATACATACCACAAGTCCAATATGCATTAGATTCTTTCCCTTCACTTTTTCCTGGCCTGGTAATTCACAAACACACATCAAATATTGAGAAGAAATTGTAGAATTGTCACTTATGGTCTCTTCATGATCCAGAACATCTAAAATAGACAAAATAAAATATTGCTACTTGTTAGTTTCTTAAATTTCTTTGCTGGGAAAGACAACATCGAAATGCTTAAAAGATGAAAGAAGATAGTAAAACAAAACAGTAAATTTGTTTCTGTCTATATTTCTGAAATGAGGTATTGTAGCTATTTACACTGTTCGGACTATTGTCCTCATTTTTACTGCCATATTCATGACGTTTTGGCTCTTGTATGCTCAGGTATTCTTCAGGATCTGTCTGTATTTCTGAGATGAGGTATTGTAACTATTTACATTGTTTGGACTGTTGTTCTTATTTTTATTGTCATATTCACAACATTTTGTCTGTTTTACTGAAACTGAAATATCCAGAAATGTCATGGCATGTGGAATTAGAACAATCTACCCTGGTGGATGAAATAAAGGGTTCGGTTTGAAATTCCAATGTATATCACCTGAAGTAGGCTGGAGTGTCCAATGGCTGAAACGTGAATATGACAAAGATAAAGACAACAGTCCAAATAGAGTAAATAGTAAATTTTTTATTTTGTAATGTTGAAAAAAAAAAAAAATGTTTGTTTTGATAAATCCAGTTAACATTTTCTCCTACCCAATACAGTATTAATTTCAAATCCCAAAAATAAAAATAAAAAAAACCATCTGTGTCTATTTTTAAGTCTCAATTTAGGTTGTGACTTACACACAAGTAGTTATGCTATTTTTTTCTTTGTTTTTTTTTTTTTTAATCAATTTCACCTCAAGACAGTAAAGCCACAGAGATGCAAAGGGGTTAAAAAAAATGAAAGAGTTAGAAACAGGAACATTGCTAAGGAGTGAGAACAGAGGACGAGTAATCAGTAGGAAAGTAGATTGCGATTGACATTGCATTTAAATTTTTACAGATTAAAGTTGGCTCGAAAGCATGGAGCCAGAAGGGACTCCACAAGCGGGAAGTGTGAGAAAAGAAACTGTTAGCATAGAATTTACAGTTACATCTAGCCAGCTTGACTGTAAATTAGTGAGATCTTATCACCAGTCTAGTACTACATTTAAATTAAAAAACAATGGGTACCCTAGCAAAGAACTCATCTGAACAATTACTATGAAAGAGTTCTAGATAAATAGCTGGAGCACCAGACCATATGTGGCAAAAGGTAAACTGCAAAATTAAAAATATTAAAAAATGTTGACCAGTTAGTGACAATCACTCTTCAGAACTAAATTGAGGGATAAAAAAAAGTTTACACACTGAATAAAATACAGTGGAAATACCAAAGACAGTTTTATATATATAATGATTGGCTGCTCATATCTGAGTATGCCTGTCTACCAGGGCAGCTAGCCAATTCCTGTTGCAGACTCCTGCTCAGGCACATTTGTGTTTGTTCAACACCAACAGAACCCACCTATGGTTCATACTGCAACTATGCTGAGCTGACCTTAGTACAGTTTCTGGGAGAGAGCGCATTATCTAGTATAATCAACAGTCTGAACAGGGACAGCACACTTAAACCCTTATTCACGATGATGTGTGACTTTGTGTTAGCACAACCATTGATGGTTCCTAAATAGTTCTGTCAACCCAATTTGACGCACAAAGCATGGGTCAACCTGTGGTATGGTTTTCAGGCACTTTCCAAAGATGCTGCATATTGGGATCACCTCTTCAGGCCGATAACATCAAGAACTTACCTTCCTTTCAATTGACTATAATGAGATTGAAACCTTCTCCTCATGGTCGCCCATGTTTTATATATATATATATATATATATATATATATATATATATATATATATATATGATAAAAAATTTAAACACTAATATTCCATGGTCATAATTTATTCCATTGGAATCTAAATATTGATCCAATTCATCAGACCTACAAATTCAAAAAAAAACAGAAAAAACAAAATCCGGAAATAAAAACAGAATTTAGAGAGAGTTAAGTATGAGGAGGAGGATATATATATATATATATATAAAAAAAAAAGAGGGGTGCCAAAAACGTTTTTGGTTGTAATGTGGATTTATTGAGAAAAAATATTATACTTTGTTTTACATAATTTCACGACACGTTTTTGTTTTATGACCCTTCACGCAGAACTCTTCATTGACAATTCTAGAAAGAAAATTCGGATTGCCAACACACAAACAGAATGTCTCATATCGAGAATATTCCACATTGAACATGAAGAAAAAAATAATTATTTTTAATAATATGTAAAAATCTCCACTTTCACCTGAAGACGGTTGCGAGACCAGACCAGAAACACGTGTCGTGAAATTATGTAAAACAAAGTATAATATTTTTTCTCAATAAATCCACATTACAACCAAAAACGTTTATAGCACCCTCTTCTTTTTTTAACATATACATACTTTTCTCTCGTTGGAACCACTACAACATATTTCTTTTATATATATATATATATATATATATATATATATATATATATATATATATATATATATATTTTTTTTCTCACCAGTAACACAGACTCAAGAGTTTCATGCACAACACAATCTTTAGGCTGACTGTTACATAATTGAAATTTTGTTAAATGTATCTAGTTGTAGTAATGATGAGGCAGTTGATATTTTATACAGGGATTGTTGTTTTTTTTTTTTTTTATTTAAAATAAATGTAACTAAAATTTTATATGTAACATTATAAAAAAATGAAATTTATATGTGCACTATTATATATATTTAGTTGTGCTGATGTGAGTTTGTAACCCTATATTTCACACTGTAGTGAAAGAGATAATCAGGTACCCGGAAAAAAAAATTTGTGTTTTGTTAAATTCTTTTTTATTTAAAAAAAATTACCAAAAAAGAGTCAGCAAAAAATCTTATAGCGAAAAAAAAAACTTTTCTCCTTACCTCATCAAACCAAGCGACATTGCACAAAGTCCATATGTATCTATGCTTACGGAAAAAGTGACGAAAAAAAAACGAGTTCAATGCAGGAGTTGCTATAACAGTATTTTTTGATATGCAAATTACGGACATCCTATCCCAGCTGTTAAACGAATGAAAAAAATAGGTTCTGCCGATAAAAGCAGTTGGTGTTCTCGATTCGGGAGGGTGGGGGAATTCATATATATTTTTGGCCTGTTTGTTAGAGAGTGAATTATTTTTCTGACTGGTTACACGATGCATTGTGATTTGAGATAGTACCGGCGAATCGAGTTTTCAGCATTTCTTTCTGCCCCCCCGATATTCGAGTCTGTACTACAGTGATTTTTCTTTGTGTTGTGGAAGTAATCTGTGACAAATACTTCCTTTGCTTTCAGAATGCTTACACTTACACACACTCTTTGCAATTGTGAAACAAACTCCTTTGCCTGATGATCGCAAAGGGCATGAAACCCAGTCACAAACTCACATCAATGCAACTAAATATGTTAGCTCTATCATTGATACTGAGTACTTTCCAATAAGTACTGTGTGCATATATATATATATTGCATATATATGTGCGTGTGTGTATATATATATATATATATATATATATATATATATATAAATAAAATTTAATTTTAATGATTAACTTTTTCAATAATTGTGTGTGTATATAGTAATACGCTATAGAAAACAAAGTGTAAAATTGTTTCATTGACTTGATCACACATTCTGCCATCTCAGATCAGAATGAAAGAAGTGTGTGTGTGTGTGCATGTGCACACTTTAATATTGAACTGTTAATACTTTTTCCCTAAGCTGATGTCCCTCATTCGGGATGAAAGAACAAAACTGTGTCTTTTGTAGAAAAGCCATTATTTTAATTTAGGCTATTTTCTTTTCACTTTTCTTGTTTTGTCAAAATTTGTTTTTAAAAATATATATATATGTATGTGTGTGTGTTTACAAATAGGGTATAGAATCCAGACAAAGTTTGATAAATTTGACAAGTGTAAAACTGTTTTATTGACTTGATTACAGGTTTCACCATTGTTAGATAAGATTTCTCAGATCAGAACAAAAGACGTGTGTGTGCTTCAACACTAAATCACTAATACTTTTTCTGCTAAGCTGGCATTACTTGCTTGAGATGAAAGAACAAAATCGTGTGACTTTTGTTATTTTAATTTATGCTTTTTTCTTTACTTTTCCATTTTTCTTGCTTTATCAAAATATGTTTTCATTTTCTTTCAGCTTTTCTGTAGTGAATTTAAGGTAAATCCTTAAACATTTTTTTCCAAATGGGTTGAAAGAAAAAAAATACAAATATTTTCTGAATAAGCATAAATATGCCTTTGTGTTTGTTGACAATATGTGTATTAATAGGACATAGAATCTGGACAATGTGCAAAACTGTTCTATTGATTTGATTATGCATTTTGCCATCATTAGATAGGTTTCCTCAGATCAGAACAAAAGTAATACATGCACATTTGTCTCTGTGTGTGTACTTCAATATTAAAGTATTAATACTTTTTCTGCTAAGCTGAATATATTTAATCATTTCCTCCCGAGTAAGGCAATAAAGTCACTAAGATGCAAGGGGGGTTATGGAGTGTTAGAGAACATGATAAAAAATCTAATAATAACAAAAACAACTAGAATTAAGAAAGCAGAAGATAACGATTGATATTACATTTAACTTTTTGAACATCAAAGTTGACTGCATAGCAAGAAGCCGGAAGAGAGTTCAACAAACAAGAAGTGAAATAGAAGGAACTGTTAGCATAGAACTTACAGTTATATTTTGCCATTTCAACTGTAAAATGGTGAGATTTTGCCACCAATCTAGTACTGCGCTTAAATTCCTAGTCTATGTATGATAAAGGAAAGTTCAACAGATCAGTTGCCATGAAAGTATTTATAGAAAAGGCACAGGGAATCTATGTTACGAAGGTAAAAAAGTGACGGTGCCTGAGATGCCAGGTCAGGACCAATGATACTGCAGATTCTTCATTGAAGTTTATCGAGAATCTCTAAATGTATAGCAAGAGCATCAGACCAGGTGTGGCAGCGATATTTAAAGCATGAGAGAATTTACAAATATGTAAAATTTTGGCAAGAAATATTGTCTAGCATGATACAGGAAACTGATTTTCCTAGAAGCAGACCTAACAATCTATTGACTATAATCTCTCCACTTCCTATCAGCATAAAACATTAGTCCAAGAAGGCACAATGAGTCACTCTCCTGGTGATGCAAGATAATAATGGTTCTCTCAGATGATTAAAAGAGAGCAGTTTTGTTTTGAAGGCATTAAAACTAACAAGCCATTCCTTACCCCAGTTAACAACAGATTGTAGATCATTTTTGAGAGCAACTGCTAATTTGACTATATTAGACCAATCAGATTTATTATTAAGATGTTTTATATTAATAAAAATTAAGACTATTTCAGTCCTCATCAAGAACTGGGTGTTGTCAGTATGGTAGACAATATTTTTACAACTAAATCCTGGCATTTTTAGATCGCTAGAATTGGAATCAGTTCAAAGTGAATTTATACATAATAGTTAAGCATAAATGTATGCATTGAATATATGTAGCGGACATGAGACAGAACCTGGGACGAGCACAACTGGTCGTGACTTGCCTTGTCCCCGCCAAAAAAGAGCCCATATTTGCTTAGCATGTAAAGCTACTGCAGTTGAAATGAGGGAGAGAAAAAAGCACTTACCGCTCTGCCGTAATCCATCCTCGGCCAGATAACGTAAAAGAATGAGGGGGGACTGGCATTGCATTTTTATGCAATAAAGATGCAATGCATTATGGGACATGGACGCAATGAATTATGGGATCACATGAAGACGCAAGGGATTATGGGTATATGAACAACTATAAAAGCAACTACTTTTTTCAGAGTTGGGGAGTTCTTCGAGGGACGTTCACGGTTGATGGCAAGAACGGGCAGTTAGTGTGATTTTGAGACAGAACTCAAGAAGGAACGACTCAAGGTTGAAATACCAGCTGGGAGAGCTTGAATTTACTCGCTGGTTACTGTTTTCTTTATTCGCCTCAATATATTGTGATGTCAACGAATACTCATCACTTTTGTAATGCTCATTGTAGTAGAGACTTTGTAACTATATAACATTTTTGCTTTTTTAATCCTTTCATCTCAAGCAATAAAAGCTAGTAAGACACTAGGGATTACTGGGAGTGAAAGAAACAGAGAAGATAATAAAAGGAAAAGGAATTTGAGGAGACAGAAGATGATGATTAACATTGAATTTAAATTTTTAATGATCATAATTGACAGGAAAGTAAGAAACTGGAAGAAGAGAGTTCCACAAATGAGAAGAGTGGAAGAAGAAACTATTAGCATAGAACTTAACATTACAACTAGCAAATTCAACAATGAAATTATGAGACCTAGCTGCCAATCTAGTACTGTGCTTAAATGTATGAAGTCTAGATACCAAAGAGGAAAGCTCATTAGAACAATTACCATGAAAATATCTATAGAAAACGTACAGAGAAGCTACATTATGGTGGTGAAAAATGACTGGAGTGAAGATGCCAGGACTGATAAGGTTGCAGATTCTTCTTTGGATTTAGTCAAGAATCTCTAGCTGAATAGCGGAAACATCAGACCAGATATGTAAATACCCTGTTCAGTGAAACCAAATGTATAATTACTTAAATTTAAATAATTCATATTGTATAAAATTCATATCATATAAATACCTTTTTCTATCAAAGTTGATTTTGTGTAGAGGTCAGTTAAGTGGCGGGTAAATACAGAACTTTTGTTATCACTGGCAGCTTTCAAGGCAGCTGTTTCTGTTTGCTTCACAACCCCAACCTACCAAATGAAAAAAAAAAACAAAACAAAAAAACATTAAAATATGATGGAATCTATTGAGAATGGAGTGATCAAAAGTGAAAAGAAGAAAAGCAGCCTTTTCATTATTGATGATTGTTTGATTACTGCCCCCTGATAATAATCACAGGTAGCATGAGATTTGAAAGCCTCTTCCTCGTTTGACTGGCGAAGTGATCAGACATGTTCTGTCTCAATGACAGACACAAGGCATGTAAGTACTTCAGTGACACACAGACTGATCTGATGACTGTTTTGAACTTTTACAGTTTTAACTTTGTTTCTTATTTTATCCTGCTGTAACATGTCTGCTCAATACATTTAATAATTGTTGTTTGTTTGAATTCCATGTTTTGTTATTATTTTTACCTGGACTCACACGAGTCTGCCAAATATTATTTGCAGGAAAAATATACCAGGTGGCATAAAAATGAATAACTTTCATTCCTGCAGCATGATCAAAGAAGCAAGGTTGTTTTGTGCTTGCTGATTAGAAAACAAAAAAGTGAAGTTGATTTTGTTAATACTTCATTGGTGACAATCTTGAATCTTCATGCATACAAAAAACAGTTTCTGTGACCCCCCCCCAAAAAAACAGTTTTTCCCTTGACACCAATATTATTTTAACTACCTTCACTCCTCAGCAATCTTTATTGTTTTAACAAGAAACTTATATAAATATATGAAAATGAATTTAAACATTTTCTTTGTACTTGACAAAAAAAACACTATTAGAATGTCTATTTACACTATTACATTGTTTATTAGAATGGTTTGGCAAAACATCAGGTAAAAGGTCAATCAATCCCAAATTTATAAAATGGTAAATAATAAAAACTTCATCAAAGTCAGTTCACATATTTTAATAATTTAGAAAATTTATTAGTAAAAAATTGTTTTCATATTTATTTCTTTATAAATGATAAATATTGCATTGAATTAGTTTTAATAAAATTGTACTAGTTTTTACAATATTGTAAATATAAAATTATTCTTGTAAATAAACAGTGTTTAGTATTTTCATTGTAAGTTAATTTTATCATTTGTTTAGGTTTTATTACAATTCTAATCATTGTTTTTTTTAAACAATAAACATTGTCGAAGAGTGAAGGTAGTTAAAATAATAGCAGTGTCAAGGGAAAAACTGTCCTTTTGACACTACATTTTATATTAGGCATGAAGGTCTAAGATTGCTTCATTGTTTAATCAAATCCTTCTCAGAATCTTGAGATGACTCATGCTGTTTATTTACAGAAACTTAAGATGAATTTTGTGGAGTGAGTAGCCATGGTCAAATGCAAAATAAATAACAGAACTGTCCAACAAATGGAATTGACAAAGTTTGTAATAAGCAATAACAAGAAAAAAAAATAAAAAAAGAACAGGCCAAAAAATAATATAAAGTCAGTAAATATATGCAAAGCAAATTAACAATAATATGACAAAAAGTTCACAAACTAAGAGTTAGGGTTGACACACAAAAGCAAGTTCGGACAAGCGAACATAGCATTCTGACTTCAAGAGACAACAGACTGGGACTGAATCAGATGAAACAGAGAACCGGTCTATTTTATTGCCTAGGTGAAAATCCCAGCATGCATTTGTGTGCTTCTGCCTATAAACTAGGGGAGGTCCAAGTGTTTTGGAATCATTTCCAGGGACTGAAACCAATAAATTTACAGCCTTTTTGTATTTTGTATGATATACTTTGGATTTAGTCAGACTAGTGCTCAAGTCTTGGCTGGTAAAATCACATTGTTTATAGCATTTAGTCTTTCTTTAGACATCTGTTGCATTTGGTAACCTTCTGAGAATTTGGGAGTCAAACTTTATTCAATACACAAGAGTAAATAGTTCTTAGTCCAATGAGAAGGTGTGGAATAGAAAGAATTCTCATTTTATGACTCCTTTTTGTCCTACAAGCAATGTTTGGCAGACTCGTATGTATTAACAAAACCTGTTACAGAAGAGTAAAGAAATGAATGTGCTTTAAAGGGGTAAATAGACCCTTCCTTGATTGTGAAGCTGTTCATATCTGAGTGGGTAAAGCATGGCATATAAGATGGTGATTTCTCCTGCAAAAGGGGACAAAGGTTCGAATCTTGATGGAGGGTGCATTTTCTTTAATAAGTTTTCTAAAAACCAAACAGGCCAGTAGACAAAAATGCAGTTTAAAATTGATATATCTCGTGCAAGATATAATAAACAAAGTAAACCCAAGTGTGGTTTTCAATAATAATTTTATAATCGGATGTAGGTATGTCAAAATACAGAGACAGACGCAAAAATAAAGAGTAAGCTAACACTATGGGATGGTGTTAATAAACGAAGACCTCTTCTACTGTTGCCTGTGGTTAATTAATATCGGGCAACCAGTCCGTTGATTATCAAAAATGGGAAGTAAATTCCGCATAATTATCTCATCAAACAAAAAAAAAAAAAAAAACATCAACTGGGAGCAACAACACATACTTCATCTCTCTCCACTAAAACATGCAGCACATAAGTACTTCAGAGACATCAACTCAAGATTTTCCGAACTATCACTAACTTTAACAATGAAGTTCATTTCTTTACCTTTCTGGAAGTAATGTTTGAAGTAATAAAAAAAAAAATGTTTTTCAGATAAATAAGATCCATTAAAATTTGATTTTTTGAAACCATTGACGAGTTGACAGATTGATTGCTGAATGATCCGTTTAAAAAGAATTTGATTGGGATGCAACAAGGTAATCCAAAAACTAAGTTAACACTTTATGTTTTTGCTAATTAAATATATATATATATATATATATATATAAATATATATATATATATATATATGTTATTAATTTTGTTATAATAGATTTTTAAAATTAAATATATATAATTTATTCATTTTAAAATTTCATGTTTCATTACTAATTGAAAATACTTCTAAAAAGTAGATTAATAAATAAAAAAAAGAAAAAAAATTTGTTAAATCAATTTACTTTCAACATGTTTAAATAATAAAATTAGAAAAAATAGATAATAATATCCTTGCAAAACTTTGTGATTGGGTAATAATTTTTTAAAAAAAAAAATAAAAAAATATAAAATATGTAAATTTTATTATATATATATTTTTTTTTTATATTAAAATTTTGGCTATAAGGACTCATTTATATATATATTAAAATAAATATATATATTTTATTATGTAGAATAATATATGTATGTGTGTGTATATATATATATATATATTTTATATATATATTTTTATCATAAATATATATATATATATATAAGATTTAATATATTTTTTTATTTTTATATATATATAGCATATATATATATATTTATATATATATATATATATATATATAATATATATATATATGGGATAATAAAATATATATATATATATATATATATATAAAATGGAAAAGGTATATATATATATAAAAGTATATATATATATATATATATATATATATATATATATATATATATACATACACATAAATTAAAAAATTCATAACTATAATGAATAAAGCATATATTATATTTTACTTGATCAATGAATTCCATTGACTGTTTTATGGTTTGAATCGAAATATATCTGACTATCAAGATGCTGATGTGGGGATACTTAATGTTACAGGTTTTTAATATTGAACCATAAAAATATTAAAGTCAACACTTGAACTATATGTGCAATATGTTGTAATTCTATTACCACATATGTGGCATATTATGCATACATGTAAATTTATAGTTAATATGATTTTGTTAGTTATTGCAGAAATATGTATGTGAGAGTAATGATATCTTATGTGTTAATATGTGTGGAATTTCTAAGGATGTAACTAGTGGTGATCTCAGGATTTCAGATATTATTTAAAATAAGTGACAGAGAGAATAGAATCCATTTTTCTGTTACAGTTGTAACAAGTAATATAGTGTATCCTAACTACAAACAAGAAGACATTAGAAATATAATTTGTAGGTATGTATCACTTAATAACTATAATAAATACCTCGGATTTTTTATTTATTATAGAAAAGTTTAAAACATCTAACCTGATCCTTAGTGGATTTAAAAATGAAAATCATCCTCATTCAAAAGCAATGATTAGGAATTCTTATGCCCTTTAGGAGATTGCATCTCTAATATTAATAATAATAACATTCTTATATCAGTCATACAACTATCACAAACTCTTGTAGGTTAACTTGTCACTTATCAAAACTTAGCACAATTCATACTTACATTGATCAACACACCTACACAGAAAAGATAGCAAATTTCATCACCTTATATCCTGCTGACACAAGACGTTTAACATGAACAAATAAGCGATGTGTGGGTATGCTGGCTGTCATGAAATTGTGATCAGGATTGCAGGTGATTTTTAAAACTTTTGCTGCAATCTGAAAGAGAAGAGAAAAACATATATATTTGTTGTATTATAGGTAATTTTAATTTTGGATTTTGTGATACTTGGTCAAACAATACTACACAGGATGTGAATATGTTATTTGCATATAGCGTGTTAACATTTAAATATAGGATTATACATCTTTTTTATTGGAGAGTTACTTCCCTTATATGCATATTTCAAATTCCCTTTTTATGCAAACATAAGCTTCATCAGTGATGTTTATTTCTGGTGTTAATGTGGGATTTTGGATCTTTAAAAACATCAGAACTCCCTCTTGCATGTGACCCAACCAGGTGCAATCACCTTTCAAGACTATTTCTGAATCCACAAAATTTAACCTTAGCTTATAATGGTTTAAATCTTTTTGGAATTCAATTAATGAAATTTGATTTTACAATTTGTCTATTTGATGCTGGTGAACTTTTCCTGCCTATTTTTTCTCCCACTTAATGAGTAAGTCAACCAACAAGCCTTTTATTGACTTTGTCTTGAACAGTTATTTTTTTTTTTAGGAATTCATTAACAAAGCAGTAGAGCCCACTTTTTTAGAGGGATGTAACAGTAAGAGATAGATCAAGTATCAACCATCATAAAGACTGAAAAATAAAATTGACAAAGATTATTGTTTAAGGTTGATGGACACGCATGTCTTAATTTTTTTTTTTTTTTTTACGAATTGGTCAAACCCAAACTCAAACAAAAAATTGTTTTCAATCGTTTTCTGAGTCTACCCTTGAATAGAATTTTATTATAAACAATTGTCTTGTAAATGGAATTTTTAAAGCATTCTGAATGTAAAAATAAAGAAAAAAGTGTGCAAGACAATAAGAAACACTACTTTTCCAAAAAAAACTGAAAATTTTGTTGAAATAGGGTTGGAAAAATGTAGGTCTGAGATCCCATATATAAACGAACACATACAAACAACCTGGGTTTTAAATATAACTTGATATGAGTTGTCCTTTTTCATTCTCATGACGATGCTGACTATTTTCATATTTTCAAATTGATTTTGTGCAAAAACAATTGTGCTTTTTCCAATTTTGGGGCTGTCAGAACCACCGCAAAGGTAATTTTAGTAGTCCTCTTGAGTTTTGTTGAAATTTCTCATTTCAAATGTAGGAAATCCATCCAATATATAAACATACAGATACACACACACACAACCTGGGTTTTATAATAAGTATGATGTTTATATTTTATACTGTGGTAAAATAAAGGAAAAATTCATTGAGGATTTTATATTTGGGTAAAAAATAAAAATAAACAAAAAAAATAAAAAATATACCATGACAGAAATAAGCAAAATAAAAAAAATGATTTTGTTACATTTTATTAAAGGCATTGCATTCATTCCCAGTTAAATATAGCCATTGATACTCTCTTCATAAAATGACATATTTTGATCATGTATCATGGAATTGACTGAAAAACAGAAGATAGCATTAAAAAAATGTACAAATAAGATTATTATCCCTATATGTGTCATTGTATAAGGTCAGCACAAAGTAATAAATCATGTATTGTTAAGGCATCTATAATAGAACATAATAAAAAAAATAGACTGAAATGAACAGTGGGTAACCACGAGGAAATACTGGAAAAAAAAAAAAAAGAAAGAAAGAAAATGAAACTCTTTTCTTTCACTTGGCTGATACTTATTTGAGAAAAAAATATGGAATAAAATTCTGAATCAAGTTAAAAATTTCCAAATATTTGTCTAAAATGTCAGTGTTAAAATACAGAGAATGATTGGTTAATTTTGTTTAGTGGCATATTAACATCTCTATGAGTTATTTAATGCCAAAATCTAAATATCTTAAACACAATTGTATGCCTTCAACTAAATATATTTTGAATGCAATTGCATGCCTTCAACTAAATATATTTTGAATGCAATTGCATGCCTTCGACTAAATATATTTTGAATGCAATTGCATGCCTTCGACTAAATATATTTTGAATGCAATTGCATGCCTTCGACTAAATATATTTTGAATGCAATTGCATGCCTTCGACTAAATATATTTTGAATGCAATTGTATGCCTTCGACTACAGATAAAATATATTGTTGGTAATTCTACTATAAGTAGGTATTGTTGGTAATTTTTTTATATAAAAATGTATTGTTGGTATTTTTCTATAAGAATGTATTTTTATACTTTCATAGCATCTTGTTTTTGTTTGGGAGGTACACTATTTGCTCATACCTGGGGCCCTAACAGGTGCTACCACCCCAGGTCAGAATTGACCTGGGAACAACAGCAATTAAGAGGTGGTTCCATGCCCTTTAAAATACAATCACCCACTTGCGGCCTTTGATAATGGATGTAGTTTATCATCATAACCAGGAAGAAAAATATAGAGAAAGTGAATTTGGCACTACAAAGGAAATGTAGAAACAAACCTCTTAAAATAAATATGTACCTAAGCAAAAGACCATAAATAGCTTTATCTACTTTTTTCAGGTTCTATCTTTATGAAGATAAAAGGAAAATATCAAAAAAATAATCTAATGGGCTTAAATTCAGGCTATACCAGGTGTAACAGCATAATTGTCCAAATCATGTAAAAGCATAATTGTCCATCCTACAAAATGTTTAATATCTAAAAAAAACCACTAAACTAATTGAGTTTCTTGTTTTCAGATTAGCCATTTTGACACCATTTGTCATAAGAATCACTGAAAAATCCTTTGAGTTATTCAGCTAGAAATAACAGGATAAAATTGTTTTGTGTCATCCCCACTATCTTCCCAACTGAGCAATGGTCAGAGGAAAAACATCATTCAGGCCTTCAGTAATGTTACCAACATTCATACTCTGACTTCCATCTTCAAGTCCATTCAAGAACTATCAAAAGAATGGTGAATAATTTGTAAAAAAGAGAGAATAGTAGAGAGGAAAACTGGATCAGGAGGTCACAACTGGAAGAGGGATCATCATTTCAACAGAGCTAAAGAGATCAATTTTAACATCCATTTTACAATAGAAAAAGAAAAGAAGAAATCACAATTGGTGGTCATTTCATTTTTCTGAGCCAGCATGTAATGGAGATGGATATTGAGAGCAGATGGAGTGAAAACAGGAAGAAGAAAATAAAGGAAAGCATATCAAAACACTTTTCAATTAGAATTCAAATTTTGCTTGATTCTCAATGAAGACAGCTCCAAAAAAGAAATAATTTCAAGAACAGCAGAAATAGTGAAAGCAGTTGCAAAACTAAAAACCATCTGGAAACACAAGAACATCTGCCTAAAATCCAAGATCAAAATATTGCATGTATTGGCCTTGTCAATCTTTCTATATGACAGCAAATCTTGGACATTAACAGCAGAACTAAATGAAAGAATCCAAGCATTAGAAATGAGATGCTTCAGAACCATCCGAGGCATCTTCTACATAGACTGCTTCACAAATGACGCAGTATGAGATACCATCAGACAGGAAACAGAAACATTAGAAGACCTCTTATCCACCATCAAGAAGAAGAAATTGAAATGGTTTTGATATAAGAGTCAATCTATAAGACAAAAGAAGAAAACAGATGAAAAAAATGGGCTAACAACATCAGTGAATGAACTGGATGATCCTTCACAGATACTCAGACATTAGCATACAACTGACACATATAGAGAGATCTGGTAAGGTGCTCAGCGACTTTACAAACACACCCAGTCATGGGACTGATGATATTGAGGAGGATATATGATGACTCTTCTCAATATTATAAGTAAATATTTTATATTAGACTGGCCAATAAGTTTTTGTTTTTTTGGCATTTAGTAGCATTAGTAGGGTTTAGATTTAACTACATTTTCAAACTATTAGTTCAAATGATGACTACTAAATTATTTGAACTCACCTCTGCATCTTCTCCAAAGAATCGATACTTGTAGCCACATTCTATAAAAAGTACAGTGTTAGGATGTTTGGCTTTGAGAGCAACCACCTGCTGTTCTAAAGGGGTATATTTAATGCCTGTGGTGGGCTTTTTGTTTCCTGGTATACTCGTTGAAGAATGTTTAGAGCCCTTTGAAGGCTTTTCATCAGTTGTTTTTGTGGACATGGCTTTATATAAAAAATTCCATTTCAATTAATCTGATTCCTGGAAGACAAAGATAAATCTGTTTTGTTGCAAATATCGAAGTCTTCAGGACCTTTGGTTTGGAACTTTATCTTCAGATCTTCCAGATCAACATCTCTATTTTGAGAACAACTGGCAGAGAAACTATCCAACCTTGAGCGGGTAATTTCACCAATGCCAATGTTTACATTGTGTTTGGGGTTACATTTTGATTTTTTAATGTCACTTGCTTGCAAACATGGAACATTTTGATGATGTCGCAGATGTTTTCCGCTTTTTATTGTTCTTTACAAAGTCATCCTTTTCCTATAAAAGAAGAAAAATAGAAAAAATGGTAAAAATGCGCATTTGGAAATGTTTCAGATATTCAGATTATTTTTAATATTATCCTTTTGAAAATGGCCATTTGAAAATTGTTGTAACCCAGGGAACGTTACTGAATAGAATAATCAAACAAAGGTTGGTAATGAACAATAATACTTAGGACAAGAACAACACATATAAGATTCGCTAGCAGCATGTAGAAGTAGTAGTCAACTGCTAGAAGTGAGTCAAGTGAATTCCATAATGAATCTCCAACTGCAGATCAACATACAGTATTTACTAGTGTATTTATGTGAATGGGGACATACCCATTATCGTCCATAGGTAGGCTACAACATCTCTGCAGGCAGTAGCCACCAAAGGCTGTTACATCCATTTGAAACCTTGACAGGGAACAACAAGAAGATATATGCACTGGAGGAGATAGTAAGAATATCATGTATTTTACAGTTCGCCTGCAAGAAATTCATGTTTGGAAATGAATCACTAATTTGTAATGAATAATGAATGCCATTTTTTAGAAAAGAATATGCAAAAATAATGACGAATAATGTCATTTTTTGACGTTAAAATTTTCGTTAAAAAAACATTATTACGTCATTATTTTTGCAATATCCACCATTTAATATTATTAAAAACATTTTGGCTGAGTAGAAAATGTCTAAATGTTAATAGTTGTTCTAACCTAGGGAAGGTTACTGAATAGAATAATCAAACAAAAGTTGGTAATGAACAATAATACTTGGGACAAGAACAACACATAAAATTTGCTAGTAGTGCGTACAAGTAGTCAACTGCTAGAAGTGAATCAAGTGAATTCCACAATGAATCTCCAACTGCAGATCAACATACAGTATTTACTACTGTATTTATGTGAATGGGGACATACCCATTATCATCTGTAGGTATGCTACAACAAAGATCATACCTATAAGTTTTGTCATTAATCCTAACAAATTCTTAGAATAATGACTCTTCTCAAAATTACTGAATTTCTCTTTCATATAGATTTTGTATCCCTTACAGAAATTTATGGTTTAAAGATTTTTCCTACCGATTTTGGGCCAAACCCCACTTTTGGTTTTTTAAAAAAAATGTCCCAATGTATTTTATTTAATTTTTAATATTCAAAATTTTATTGTAATGCATGTGAAAAGAAGTTTAAAGGCCATTATTGGTCTCAAACAAGTTTCCAAAACCATGGCATCCATAAAAAGAAAAAATTTAAAAAAATTAAAAGACAGTTTTTTATATAAAAAAAAAAACATGTAATAGAGAACTGCTGTTGTTACATGAAATATAAAATATTTGAATTTAAGCTTATCCTATTAATATTTTGAATTTTAATCATTTCTCCCCAAAAAAAAATTGAAATTTGAGCTCACTAAAAATATTCACTTATAATAACTCATTCTCAAATTTCCAATTATTCTGTTGGTATATATTCAATTTTTTTAACATCCTAATTTTTGCTCCACCAAAAATTTTTAATCTAAAATGTTGGGAATCATTTTTTGACTTTGGGGAAGATACATTATTTAGAAACAATGAATCTAAAAAAAAAAAAAAAAAATGAATGTGCATAAAAGGATCAGAAAACAAAAAATCCAGTTTTTTATCCTTATGTCTTACAAAATTTTTTCTCTATAAATAAATTTTTAATTCTATTTATTTAATTAAAACAAATTTTAAAATCAAATTGAGACAATCTTCAAATTAAATAAAAATTTCCATTGGATATTATGTCTTAACTATATCAAATATTTTAATATAACACCATAGCATTGTTAAAAAATGTTATTTTGAGATTAATTTTGATTGATTAAAAATTTTATGTTACAAACAATGTTTTAAAAAATAACTCATTGAAACCCAACAGAAATAGATGGAAACCAAAATTTTTCATTTTATTTTATTGACTATTAAGCCATTTTTTTTCAGTGATTAATTTGTTTCTTTTAAAACCCTAATTCCTATAATTAATTTTTCAAAATCAAAATGCCTTTGAATCCTTTTTAATTAAAAAAAATAGATATATTGTCTCCATAAAAAAGTGACAAGGCATTAAGCTCCTAAAAAAATAATGAAAAGTACATGATATTTTTATCAAAAGGTATTTTTAGAAATGAATGGGAAATAAAAAGTTAAAAATAATAAAATTTATATAAAATATATAAATTTATAGCATATGTAATGACAAAAGACAATTAAATTTTTAAGAAAAGAAAATTATTTTTGAATTGAGAAATCAAGGTTTTTTTATATTGTAAAAAAAGGGGTTTAAACTAAAATTTTGAAATAAAATGGAAAAAAATCTAAACATAAAATATATTATTTGATTACATGACTTTTTCTTTTTTATGAATAAAATTTATTACAAAAAACCTAAAAAATTTTTTTTTATTTTTTTAGATTTTAGATTTATTAGATAACTTGGAATGAAAATTAGAAATATACATTGCAACGTCAAAAAAGTTTAAATAAGTTGTCAACTGCGAAATCAGAAATATAATTTGTTATTTGAATTATTAATTAATTATGAATATTTTTTTTTCATTTAAAATATAAACAATTTATTTTTTTGTTTAGTTAAATTAATTTTTTATGTATATTTTTTAAAATGATTCAGAAAAAAATGTTAATCTCAGAAATGCTTTATGTTTCTGAAATGGAATTAAAAATCTAATCGTCAGACCATTTATTGATCCCCTGATTGCATGGCTTTGTACGTTTTAATCCTTTATTTGCAGTCTTAAAAGTTTAAAACCTTTCTGAAATATTGATATAGTTATTTTTTTATTTATTGTATAAAATGTCGGTGTTTAAAATCCAGGTTAAAAAAAAAAAAAGGTTCTGAATTGTTTTAATCAGATCTAGACAAAATAAAAAGCTCCAATTGAATGTTTGTTTTAAAATGTCTTTCATTTTATTAATTTTTGTTTCTGAATCAAACAAACTTTTTCAAAATGTTGTCATTCTAAACTAGGTCTAAAAAAATGAAAAAAAAAAAATTTAAAACATTTTAATAAATGAAAATGCGACTAAATTTCAAATAAATTTCAAAAAAAATGAAAAATTAAAAAATCGAAAACTTTTTTTTTCATCAAATTTGAAAAATATAAAAATTTTATTCAGATAATAATTAAATTAAATTATTTTTTTACTTTTCATATTTTTTAATAAAAATTCTCAAAAAAATATTTAATTAAAAATTTATTAAAAAATAAAAATCAAAAAAATTCTTTCTCAATAATTATTTTCATTTTTTTTTTTTCTGGGTTTTAAATATTTCATGTAAGAAGAGAAAATGTTAATTTGAAAACGAATCTGAGGAAATAAAATAATTGAAAATTTCAAGGAAAAAAGAAACAAAATATTTAATGTTCAATTTTAAAATTAAACTTTTATTTTTTATTTTTTAACAAACAAAAAAAATGAAAAATATTTAAATTAATTTAAAATCTTCATTAGGTTTTAAATTTTTGTAAAGCCACATTAACGAATTAAAAAATGATAAAAAAAATGTTATATTTTTAATTTATTTTCTTGTAAAATTGAATAACCCATAAAAACTCAAATTTGGGATAACAGGAAAAAGAAAAATAAAAAAAAATTTTTTTTAAATTTTTTAAATTCTTTCTGTTTTATTTTATATGAAATCGTCGTTTAAATTTTTATAAAAAATTGATTTTCAATTCAACATTAATTTCTTTTTTAAAACAAAATTATATATTTTAAGTTTGATGCCAATTCCACAATTTTGAAAATACTTTTTTTTTTTTTTTTAAACATCCATTGTAAATAGGAATAACAAATATTTTGAACTTAAAATAAAATAAATAAAATTTCCATATATTTAAATTGTCAAAATTACAATTTGAAGGTTTATAACTTAAATGCCAACGGTTTTAAAATGAATTTATATATTTTAGCGATTTAAAAATGATTTAATGAATAAATTACCAAATTGACAAAAATTATGGAAATTAACCAAATCGAACTTTTAAATAATTTCATTTTTCTAATATAATAAATTTTAAAAAAATTATATATACACCTTTAATCCCCAAAATATAAATTTTAATTTTTAATTTAAATTTAAAAAAAATTTATTATTTTTTTTATTATTCATGTTTTTTTTTGCTAATCAAAATTTATTACAAAATAAATTGAGTTATAAATTCAAATCTGCCAACAATTTTAAATTTTTAATTTTTAAAAGAAAATTTATAAAAAATTGATATCTATGATTTTAGAAAATGAAATAACTTTTTTTTTTGATTGATTGCTTCATATAAATCAAAACTGAGGAAAAAGATTTCCTAAATTCATGAAATTTTGGTAAAATTTTCAAAACCAATGAAATTGATGTCCAAAATAGAGAATGTTTTGCTTATATTTAGAAAAAAGAAAATTTTGAAAATTTTAAAAACAAAGATAGCCAAATAAAGTAAAGAAAAATTTTTATGATTTCATTTCCATAACACTTTTGTCTTATCATGCATTTTTAAATTTTTTTCTGTTGTTTTTGTTTTTAAGGAGATCTCAAATATTTATAGATCTTTTATTTTTTATCAACCTGTTCAATTTTAAATAATTTTTACTAGGTTAACAATTGTCTTTCATAACAAATTTTTTCAACAGTCCAAAAATGAAAT